ACAAGTACAAAAATCACTGCCCTTTTTGAAATGAGCGCCGAAGTACCCAATTTCAGATTTCCAACTCAGATTTGAGTTCCGAAGATAAAAGACATATAGCTTATGTTAGTCCTTTCCTAGTAGATTTCTGAGTATTTTTAATTCTCTTGAATGATCGATTCGAAACTGCAGATAACACTTTATCGGGTAGCAAGTTCCACGAGTTAATGACTTGGTATGAAAACCTGTACGTCACATGTATTCAGTTTGTTTTATGCTTTTGTGCCAGACTGTCATGTCCTCTAAGACGTTTTGTTTCTGTGGTAGAAAAAAGAGATGATATATCAGGTTCAAAATAATCATCAAAATAAACCCTTTTTGAAACCGTGTTATTCGCTGTTTAATCAGTTGTTGGTTCCCACAAATGTCGTTATGGTCTTTTTGATTATTCCCTTTACTATTTTAACTACGACACTGGTAAGACCGACAGTTGTGAAAGCTGATGGAAGTTTTCACGATCCTACTTTACTTAGTGGAGTGACGACTGCATCCTTCCAGTTGATAGGTGACTCACCTTGGCCTAGTGACGTGTCGTATATCGTATTCCATAAGGTAGCCATATGTTGTGCAAATTGTCTCAGTGTTTATGGGTGTAGTTAGCCCGGTTCAGTAAAATTTTCTTCATTTCTATTGATCGATTTCTGGCACGATCAAGCGGACTGAGTACCTCACGGTAATGTGTTTTAGACCAAAGCCGTTTTGAGCGTATTTCCCACCATCAGGTTTCTTTCGTTAGTGGGTTCACGGTATGATCTATATGCCATCTTTCCTTTGTCATTTCAAAATTCACTTCTACTGTCCTACGAAGCTCACAATTACTAACTCCTACTACAGTTTCCGCGGGGTAGCTTGTTTAATAAGGACTTAATTTGGCTTAGGTATTGTTCGATCCTAACCTTTGATGTGATGCGTTGTATTGGGGATGAAGATGCCACAGGTATTTGAAGTTTGACAACACTTTGACCAGTAACACTCTATATAAATCGTACCCACCAAGTGAAATCAAAAGACAGAAGCAAGGATGTTCGAAGATATATTTGATAGGCTATCAATATATCGAGGATCGACTGATCTAATCTGGCTAGCGATTGCAAAGGATGTTGGACAAGGCGTTTCCACTCGTGATCTGGTGCGGATGCATGACCGAGCTCCTTCAGCTAGGTGAGTCAATTAAAACTAATATGGTCAGCATCCAATTTCGGAGACTTATGAGCTATTTATTTTGGGGAATTATTTACCGCTACTGATCACTCCTCTCCCAGTGGAGTAATGATGACCCTAAGACGTGGCCAACCAGAAGCTTAAACCCAACGAGTTTGTCACTGGTAAACAATCTCCTGAAATTTCACTGGTTGAAATCATTAGTCAATTGAAGCCAGACCACCATGGAAAACCTGGAAGCACTGGACCGCTTGCTAGGTTTAGCAGCCTCTGGTCGTCTTTCCTTACTATAAGGGAAATATAATGAAATTTTTGGTTCCTCATGAACTTCGTCGTTCTTTTTTGTCTTTTTCAGCCGTACTGGCAAAGAAAAAAATATGTAAGTGCATAACGAAATATACTTGTACTTGCGTAAAAACACAGAGCGGGCGAAAAAAGTAAAATAAACTCTTGCACATGTGTTAGCGTAAAGAAGGACTTTTTAACGGCTTTTTTCGTCTGTTTTTTTGGAATAAAAACATCAATGTATAAGCATATTAAAAATGTTTTCTAATTTTATATATAACACAAAGCAAAATCGAGATGATATAAGATGTCTAGTATCTCACGTGCAATAAACGTACAAATGTTCTGGAATTCTTAATCTTCTTCCAGAACGCGTCGTTTTAAGTTTATTTCCGGATACTGAGAAGTATCATCATGCATGTTGGCTGTCGAATTAGGTATAATAAGTGTAGGAACCGTATCATTCGATTGTACCTAAGGAAAATATACGTGAATAGGATTTTTTTTGTAAATACGCTGCTTCGAAGCGATCGATGCGGATGCTATGGCTGGTTCCATTTTTATCGACAATATGGTACTTGAGTTCGCGTTGAAGAACTATGAAGGGTCCTTCGTATATTAATTCAGCAGGTCGTCGATGTGAGTCTCGATGTAGGAAGACATGCGTACTATATCTTAAGTCAAGTTGAACGAAAACATTAGTTGATTGCGGTAGACTTGAAACAGGTTTAACTGAACTCAATGCGCTTGTAAGCCTCAGTTTTTTATATTACCATAAAACCTCATCACGACATCCTTTATTTCTTTCTCGCGTCTTGATTGATTTATAGCTTTGTCGAACGCAAACCATTTGGTCTGTGCTAAGGCGTCTGAAAATGTATATATAATGTAAAAACTTGATAAAATATAAGAAACCAACCCAAGATAGAAAAAAGAATCTAAGAAGCAACAAAAATCGTATAACGACCTCAATATCTATTAACAGCTGACAGGTTACCAGTCACAAAGGATTGCAGGAAACCAATAAATTGTGCTTCACAAATATATGTGAATTGAAATAATTGCATCCGCCATATACGTTTGCTGGTCGGTAACCCCACTCTCCCTTCTTTTCGACGTTAGGCTTTTTCACGGTAGTGGTTGGATTGCAATTGTCTTACCTCCGAGCTCTATGTTCCACACCGTGTTAGAAAGCACAAATTCTGCAGGTACCTAGGACCGTTATGTCAGGTAGTTGAAGCTAATAGATCGTTGTTAGAAAACCGAAAACGGTAATGCATGGCAACGTAGGATAAAGTGTGTGTTTTGAAACAAAATACGTCAGCAGAAACAAATTAATAGGTAGAAGAGATATGGAATTTATTATTTCTAAGTCAATGAGCTGCTGTTTGAAGTTAAATGATAGGACTATTACATATATGAGAAAGAATGGAAATCGATGTTCAGTAAATAAGAAAGATCTAGAACTGCGAGAAGTGCTTGCTGAATTGTTGGCAAATAATATCAGGGTCGTCAACAACGTTTCCGTTAATTATGAAGAATTTAGTCGTGCCAAGAGAATTTGACTTCATACGAGATTTATAAAGCCGAAGTACTGATAATTCTTGGCTTTTGCTACCTAGGGCTTTATTTTCTATATTCATAAAATACTTGCGTTTAGATGAAGTATTTCTGTCGATGAATTTAAGTATACCCTGAAGTGAATACACGTCATTGTGCTCGTAGTAACGACGTTTTAATTTACTCAGCTTTCTTTTAAAAGTATTCTGGCTCCTATTAGCATTATAAGCCACAGGGTCAATAACAGGAGCAGTTAAGTCAAGGCAATATATCAGGTAGTGGTAGAGATTGGAAAGCGCAATGTCAACATTATTTGTGGTAAAATAAGTTTCCCATGGTAAACATTGAATGAGAGTTTCAGTCCGTTCCCAGGTTTGTTGATCAAAATGTCTGCTCTGGTACATCCTTGAAGCTTCGGAGTTCTTATCTTTGTTCCACTACAAACTGTTAAGTATTATTGAGGATTTAAATTCAGATGCATTGTTGATTCTTCCTTTCTCTTTTTCAGCATCACATTCAGTGCACGGCAATGGAGCTTCTTACGAGTGAAACAAACTTAATGTACGCGTTTTTCAAGACTAAAACTTACACCAAGTACTACATAAATGTGCATCATAACTAAAAACATCTTAAACACTTTATGGCATAAATACTTATCAGGACCAGAATTCTAACACAATAATGCTGAGTTTGGACCTGATGTGTAACGTGAACGCGATGCCATTTTGGAAAAAGGATATAGAACTGCGATTGTAGTGCCATCCTAAAACATTACCTAGTCATCAACTTTCTGAAACATCATTGATTTCATTTATTTACAATCTTACTTAAGAACCACACTGTATGCAGAACAATGTTGTAAGTTATAGATCATGCCTGTAAAAATTTCGTGTACCTGTTATGGCAGAAATACATAACATTATTTTACATGTAAGTGAATAACACTATCTTCATAGGAATCTGTTGAGAAGAGAGTTACACAAGAGCGAATTACGAGCACTTTTCCTTTGTTACTCTGAATAAGTCATCGACCTTAAGTTACAAAATCTTTTCTGTTTCCAATGGTTTACATGAAGATATGATGACTCACTTAAGGTATGACTGATGAGATACTTTTTGCAGAATATGAGAATAAAGAACCAGTATAAGGCCAGTATAGGCCACTATAAGTGAGTTCTAACAAAATTATAGTAAATTAAATTGGTCATGTTGGTTAACATAACGGCATAACAAAATGGAGCGACGTCACAGAAAATGACTATATATAAATAGTTAAGTCATACTTAAGAAAGACCAAAACAAAAGGTTGCTCTAAGGCTGCTATCACCAAATAAATATGGTTTTTTGGGCTATTCATGAATCAATTCGAAACTTAGAAGTAGAACGGTTTAGCATATGCGAATGCGAGGCCACACTTAGTGTATCAGATACAAGCAATGAGTCTTGTTTCCAGTATAAAATAGATATGCTTCAGACTTTTATTGTTCTATTGTCTGAGGTGGACTGAAGTGGAGGCTTATTCTTCTCAAGGTCATCAGCTTCAAACAGATGGCGGATATAGCCTTCGATCATATAACTCAGGAGGTTAGGGGTACTGTATATCCGGGTAAGCTTCGACTCAAAGAAGATGAGTTTATGTATAAAAACGAAAAGACTGGAAAGGTGGATCACTTCTCCCGGTCAGATATAGAGTCAGCCCAATGGATAGTCCGTGCTACTGGTTTAGGATTAAGCATAAAGTTAAAAAATAACTCTTTGCATCGGTATGATGGCTTTGGTGAAATCGAAGCGGAAAAGGTCGGGAACTTTTTCAAGAAGTATTTCGACGTTGAAATTGTAAAGCGTGAACTGTGCTACAAAGGCTACAATTGGGGAGACGTGGATTTCGATGGTAATTCAAACTTGCATTATCTACTGATTAAGGCGATGTTCTCGAGTTTTCAGTTAAAAACGCCATGGCTTTCGAGGTTCCTCTAAGCAATGTTGCAAATGCTGTTTTGAACAAAAACGAGATTATTTTCGAATTTCACCTAAATGATGAAGCTGAAGTTTGCTTATCTGAAATGCGTCTGTACACTCCGGGAACTGAAGCTGATAGGGAAGGCAAAGCCCCTTCTATATATTCCAAGGTTACTCAAAAGGCAGATATTATTCAGGTAAGCTAGTTATTTACTTTATCACGACAATTAAGGTTACGGGAGATTTCTTGGTCGAATTCAAACAGTTGCAGTGTCTTCAACCCCGTGGCCGTTATGATGTTAAATTATATCCAAGTTTTATCCATTTGCATGGCAAGTCTTACGACTTTAAAGTCCCAAAGAATACTATTACTCGGTTGATGGTGCTTCCTCATCCCGATAATCGGCAGATATTCTTTGCAGTTCAACTTGATCCACCGATCAAACATGGTCAAACCAGATATCATTTTGTGATTTCCCTTTTCGACAAGGATTCGCACATAAACTTGGAAATGGCTGCGACAGAAGACTGGCTTCAGGAGCAGTTCAATGGAAAATTAACTCGAAATATTTCAGGACCTGAATATGAAGTTGTAGCTCGCGTGTTCAAGGTGAGTTTGCCTTGATGTTCTCAATTTCTAGAAATCTCTTTCACTGCCATCGGAAAGTCCCGTGGCATTATTAGGTTCTGCTTGAAAATATTCTTAAACTAACAGTTCTTGAATATGATTACTGGTTTTCCTAGGTATCTGGAGTACATGCTTATGAATTGAAACACTTAGGTAGCGAGAATTTATGTGAGGATTTGAAATTGATATCAATTTGCTTAAAATCAACCCAAGTTCCGTCGTACTGAATTCTTTGCTGGGAAAAGCCTTTATACACATGGGTTAGCCGAATATGTCCTTATGACACAGATGACGAACTACTTCAACTTCTATTGCTACTCATGAGGAATGGCTATCCACACAAATCCGTTGACACAGATTGGATCCTGGAAAAGCACAGATTGTTCAAGATAAAACCGCGAATGTCGGATTTAAAGGCAATACGGTTGCCAAAATCCTAAGTAAACGGATTTCAAAACCCATGAATAAAGCCTATCCAGCTAGGCCTTGTGCTGTCTTTTCAAACCGACCTATCATTTACGGATGTTTTAAAGCTAACCCTCCGCTTCTAACCACATCGATGTGTATCTATGCTCTTGTGAGGCAGGTTTCATTGGTCGCACAAAGCAATCACTTTCCAGATGTAACTTAAAAGGGGAGTCCAGAGCTGTCACTAACTCAGTACAGCAGCACCTAACTAACTCTGGACACGTTGCTTCACAGGAGCCGTCCTTTAGTGTGATCTATATAGTCAAAAGAATTGGATCTCAGGAAGTTTGAATCAAAAACGCATGCACTGTCAAGGCTTTGGCGATCCACCAATTCAAGCTCGATCTCTGTGTGCAAAAGCTACACGTCCTACCTCCCATCCTTCCTCGCCCTTAATTCCCTTCTCCATGATGTCATTCCTAGTAATTTAGATCAGTCTTAACCTGGCTCTGTTCAGTGAGACGACTGTGCCCTTGGATTGTTTGCTAGAGGATGTTGTGATTAATTAGTTTGATAACTCCTAAAGGGTCTGTACTAAACACCTCAGGGAAATCAAGGACATACAACCAACTTTCCATTTTTCTATTGCAACAGTGGGGTTAGAAAGGATTGCCTAATCTCACCATTTTTCCTTAACTGTTCCATCAATGAAATTCTTTATTTACCTGTGAAAAAAGTAAATAATGACAGTGGCTTACTGTGCAGTGGTACTAAGGCTATCCAGATCGAACTTGATCAGTTGACAACTAATTTCCGCAAGTAAATCATGTACCTCGCCCCTTTGAAGTTCAAGGTACCGCTCCAAGAATGCCAAGTTCTTGTGTATATGTTCAATAACTGTGGCCAACCGTTAGTAATAGTAAAATAGTTTGCATAAGTGCTAGTAATGGAATTTCAGATGAGACCACTCTATGTATTTTGTAAGCCAGAGTGATTAGTTCCAATCCGAGCCATCTTTGATACCTTCACAATACTACTTTAGTTGTTAAAGGTTGAGTGAGGACAGTTCTAATATGTGCTTGTGAAATCTAACTCCGAGTTGCAAATATGCAGCGGTTGTCAATATTTCCGAAGGATTGCTAACATTCAGTGACAATATCATGTTAATGACCTTAGGGTTTGACAATGTATGTTCACTAAAGTGTCAGTAGTTCAATCAATTTTGACATCTTGAAACATCAACTTCGGGAGTTTAGTAATAGTTTATGAATGTCATCTCAGCGGTTCACACATTATACATTATTCGTTGACGCTGAGATTGGTTGACAAAGGCAAAGTGGTAGTCGGCTTATGGTAGCGTTATTGTACGAGGCAGCTAAACAGGACTGGTGTCTGCCAGTCCATCACGACTTCTTAGTTGGGATCCTAGACACAATTTTACTCAGCGGCCTGTGACGTTATCAGACACTACTCAGTGCAAAATCCACTTGGGATCCAGCTGTAATTTCCTTTTGGGTTCATAAAAATATGAGGAATTCCCCTAAATAAAAGAAGTCTTTCTTAGTTGTATTTTTAATTGAACTATACCTCTTAATAAATGGTAATTTGTTTCATACCATTGACATTGATTTTACTAGCATTCCCTTTATTTCTTCGCGATATTATCACTATTTATGTGGCCCATACCTTTTTACTGCCCTATTTATCAGGATTTTTACGCTGTAAATAAACAAATGAAAACAATGGCAATGATGTAGTAACTCAACTATCGGCTTTAAAATTATGTCTTTAGATTCTACTTTACTCAAATTTAGTAGGATGGATATTTTTCTCCATTAACCAGTCAGCATTTCTTAGTTTCTTAAGCGCTTGGATGTTTGTGGTTACTCTGGTTTGATTTTCCCCACTTTTCGCCCTGTAGTTTTACTGAATTGTCCCCCTGCTTTTCTGCTAACTTTTTGAACAGTTAACTGATTTCACCTAAAGTTCCATTATTATAGTCTTTGAAATCGACGCATCTCAGACTCAAAAGGAAGGAGCTATATGGTAATTAAGTCAAATGTAGAGTGTGGTGCTGTATAGAGAACCAGTGACTTAGTTCCAAACAGTTACAGTTAATAGTAAGTGATTATATTATCAGTTAGCCCAATATTGGAGTGGGTCTCATATTAATTGAGACAACCATTTGTTAGCGTTAAAAATGTAAAACAATGATGTATAAAGCCAACATAGTTTTACGAAGTTTGGTGGAATGTTTGATACACGTCACATATAGTACACATATTTTTGAGTTGTAGCTTTCTATCTCAGCGTTTTACCTCATGTTTTTTTCTTTTGATTATCTCATTATACACAGGTTCTATTTGATCAGAAAGTTACAGTCCCAGGAAGCTTCTCTGCAAAAGGCGGTGGTTGTGCAGTTGCATGCAGTTATAAAGCGTCTGTTGGTTTGTTGTATCCATTAGAGAGAGGTTTTACATTCGTTCCTCGTCCTCCAATTTCTATACGTTTCGATGAAATAGTAGCTGTACAATTTTCCCGTGGGACGGGTGCTCAAAGGTCTTTTGATTTTGAGGTACGTTGACTATCATATTCAAATCCATTTGTTTGGCCAGTTAAAAAAAACACAACAGATAGTGTGCTTCGATATTTGTTAGAAATATATATATATATATATATATATATATATATATGACAGAATTAAAATGTAGGAATTATTTTTTACTTGAAAAACACTTGGTCAACCTAATGCGCAAACTTCTCAGGGCGGGTTGTTATCAACATGCACAAAACACGAGATACCTTACATAGGTATCCAAACATACATAGCTAATTCAGTTGTCATTATATCATTACACCACCATACTTTTCGACAGTCAATAATTTACTAACCTCAAAATAGTTCCCTTATTTGAATGCTACAAGTAACCTGTCATTCGGTCAGTCAGTCAGTTACAACGTAGAAACAGGCACATATGTGCATCGGTCCACGTTGCCATACCTCAGTAGCACAAGATGAACACCAAATTGATAGAAGTAGTCACTTCAATAGTGGTAATGTGTAAAAGAAAGATTGCATATAAGGACATATAACGGGAAGAAAGAATTAGTTCGTAGAAAGAAAGATACGAAGCGATTTTAATCTCATAGTTTAAAGGAAAACAAAGTGTATACACCTACTCGATTGTGATCGGTTCTAGGCCATGTCACCTAGTTTCCAACCATTGGTTATGATAGTCACGCGGACCCCAACCAAGTAGTCTGCATCTACCAACATGGCTCTGACTAGAAGTTAGTGACTTCAAGCACTAATGCCACGTTTTGGTTTGGCTGCACCTAATTTTCTCCCAACTGTCCCCAACACTAATCTTCCTGGGTTACATTAGTGAGTATTATTGTCACAATATTGTGTGTCGGTCGAGATTCTATCGAGTCCATCATAAATCTCATAGGCCTAATTGTTCATTAACTAGCAATTACCGTAGACCCTTAACGAATTCAATCTAAAGATATAAAAATGCTTTTATATTCTGCTGTGTTGACTTTATTATGTATGATTACTAAACTTCGAGTATATCACTAAACCTAATCGAACGTTTTAGGAAAGAAAATGATTAGTTTGTGAAAATTATCCGTACAATCAACCAAGTAGTTTATCCGAAAGTTGGTTTTGATCCATTCTTCGAAAACGCGTCTCATTAAAAGAATCGATTTAATCAAGATATTTCACTAGTGTTTAATTTTTATGTTTCTTCAAAAAAATCAAAGGTCTTGATATACTTTTTCCATTTATAGGTGGAAACGCGTAATGGTTTAACGCATACATTCACTTCTATCGAAAGAGATGAATATCATCATTTGTACGATTTTGTAACTGCTAAAAAACTTCGTGTTAAAAATATCAGTTCAGAAAACAAAACTACTAATCCTGGTGATGACGTTTGGTCATCATCTGATGAATCACATGATGCTTACATGGAGAAGGTAAAGACAGAAGCTCGAGAACGAACAACTGAAATGGATGATGAAGATGACGACGATGAAGATGATGAAGATTTCAAACCACCGGAATCTGATGGTTCTGAACTTGCAGAAGAATATGATAGTAATGTTCAAACAACAACAAGTGAAGATGGATCTGGAGACAACGATGATGATGATGATGATTCGGAGGAGAACAAAAGTAACACTAGTAGTAAGAATACTACTACACACAAGAAAAAAGATAAACGAGACAATGATAGTGATGGATATGAAGACAGCTTGTCAAGTGTAAGCAGTACTAGTGAACCTAAACCAAAACAAAAAAAATTGAAAGAAGAACCAAAGAAATCAACAACTAAACCCCGTAAAGATGAAACAAAACGACAAACAACAAAAAAGCAAAAAAAACCTAAAGATCCTAATGCACCAACTCGTCCACTTTCTGCTTATTTCTTATGGTTTAATGAGAATAGAGAGAAAATTGCAAAAAGTTTAGATGGACAAAATTCTGTTGCTGAAGTAGCTAAAGCTGCTGGAGAGATTTGGCGAAATATGGATAGTACAGTAAAATCAGGTTATCAATCAAGAGTTGATGAATTAAAAAAGAAATATCAAGAAGATTTACGTATATATCAATCAAATTTAGCGTCTTCTAAAGAACCAGATTTATCACCAGATTCTAGTAGTTAAGTCCAGAAATAATTAATTAATTCTTGTGAAATAAAATATCAACTTATTATTGTTTTAATATACTATGTACACTATATATATATATTCACCATTTCTTATTATTTTGTTATTAGACTGAATTAATCAATTTCCTTTATGTTTTATATAGAGATATCCCGGTACTGTCCATAAAAGAATTGACAATCATTTGGTTATATTGGATACAGAGCCTGATACTGTTGTTACGGAAAAAATGTTTTTTGTATACTCAGCATACAATAGGATAATACTATGACTTGAAACGTTATATCCAACTATAGAATTCACGATCAATAACCGAAAATTAGCCAACAGACCAGAAAATCATCTTTTTAAAATAGATGCTAGCAATTCACACAGAGTTTAGTCCACAGTTAAGTCAGTAGAACTAAATCATAGAAAGAAATCCACAACACTTGATAGTATCACAACATTTAGAAAAAGTCGGTGCCCAGTCACATCTTACTTTCGCTGGTCACACATCAGGTAAAAATCGTACGTCTCCCAAAAACACCAAATAAGATCAGCATAGTAAAAACAAATTACCAAGATGAATAGCGAAGTAGTCGAAAATAATATACCACCAATAATAGTGAGCAGGACTAAATAGTAAAGAATAGAGTTCAAAAACTAACAATAAAAACGTGTGCATGAAGGAATACTGGGACTTAATATTTAGAGGGACATAGAAGTAAATGCATCTATTGCACTGAACAATGTCATACGACGTTTCCAACTACCGACTCCGCCCAAACCAGCTGGTCTACATCTACTAACATAACTTCAATAGTTAATGAGTGCATGGATTGATGCTACGTCTCAGTTTGGCCATTCCCAGTTTCTTTTTACCTTACTCCTACCCCGGTTAATAACGCTCCTCAAGGTAGGATTTAGTTGAGTGTACGTAACACGCAGTGACTCACAACCTCACCAGTCGATCTACCATACGCTGGTAGAATTATCTCTTGTAAAAACTGAGCAAACTCCTATTTTCGTGTTTATTCAAGTTCTTTTGGCCTATATCTTATTCCCATACCTTGCGATTAGTGGGTGAGTGAAATGGCACAGAGCTCGTTGTAGATGCATTCATTCTTTATCTTCCTCTGGATAGTGTCGGTATCCGTTCCTACATACGTTTTCATTATTACTTCTCAGACCGTGTTCTTCACTTGCTCCCTTTAATTGATACTCCCACTATTGTTGTAACTCAGAGAATGTTAGGAAAGTGGTGACTTTTGGAACTACTTCCCGGATAATTTTTATCTAGATTTTTATTTTACAATTATTAAATAACTGTCATTTTATTTCTGCACTCCCCGTATCGTAAACTCCCGTTGGACTCATCACGTATTGCTATACATTTTACTATCCCTTAATTACTGTGAGTTAATTATTTACCTTTTGTTCCGTTCTCCGCCAGTTATGTATAAACTACAAATTCCCATTTGATTTGTATGGTGCTCTGATTATTCATGAGTGCTTAGGTTAATGACTGATTAACTTAACAAGGATAGGAGCTTGTCTGTTGCTATGTTCTTTTGTGGACTGAATACTTGGACCGGGACGAGTTAAATTATCTCGGCCACAGCCCAAGGTTAATCACTCAATCAAGGCGTCTTTGGCCATCCAGATTCAGAACAATAAATGGTATCTATAATTCATTTAAGAAAACTAAAGCATTCAGGTGATTATCTCGACTCCATTTCTATTCACCTTGTTAGTTTCTTCTCGCTGTAGTGATATGGTAAGGCAACTTGAGCTGGCGCATATTTATGCCAGACCCTATGTTGAATATGAATAACTGTTATCGTTAAGAATATAAATCTAGGTAATGGATATTTTATTGATGGGTAAAAATCTGTAGATAACTAAATATTTCCACATAAATCAACTTTACGAAAAAATTCATTGTCGAAGTAGTTTCTATTTGGAGGGTTTGTCAATCTAGCTTCGAAATAACATTTTTTAGAGCTTTTGTGTAGAACTAAGTATTTGTAAAAGAATTTCGGTTTCTATATAGTTGATATGGTCGATAGTAGGGTAGACATATGAAATGTAAATTATATGCCAAGCTTGATCAATGGTTGAAAGCTATAGATGAGATGGATCAAAATTGATCTCAGTGGTGTACAATTTATAACTTTCTAATCAAGAGATGATAACATAAACAAGCAACATATTATTCATTAATCAACAGCAGTAAAATCAGTGGTTTGTACAGTTTATATTTTCTGTGGAAAAAAAACAAAAACTAAAACGTTAATTTTTACGATTAAATCGTCGTGTAGATTAACTTTCACATTTCAAAAGATTATGTATAACACTAAGGTATCAATATTTTAAACTTAGCAAAAGTTACCCACTACTCAAAGGAACTGTTAGTGGACATAGACTGGATTAAAGCATGCTCAATGCACGATTGCTTTGGTGCACGCTGATTGGCTAATCTTTTATCCAATCAGCACTAGATACATGGAGAATACTCTAGAATCTTCTCAGGTAAAAACTATAAATATACTGACGTTTTTCCCTATTGTGCTTCTGACTTGCTTCCATCTAACCTTGTTATTTGGAATATAATCTCCTTCCTGTTCAACCGTGTTCTGATTTGGGGACTTGTCGAGTGAACCGGTGTCCAAAAATACTAAGCAATAGGAATAGCTGGGTTATAACTGTAAGAGAGAAATATAACAGGAACTAAATAATTCCATCCTGAATTTCTGATTACTCAATAAAAAAAGTCTTGATATGTTTAGCTTATCTTTGAAAATACATTTTTATTATTGCACATGTAGTCAAATATTGATTCAACTGACTGAAAGATACTTCAAGAATAAATCAGTCAGATAACTAAATAATATTGAAAATAGAAGAAAAATAACATAGTTCTCTTTATGGTAAGATAACCATTGAATACTAACTAATACTAACATATTCATTCAAATAAATAACATGTACCAAAATTAAAACAACAGATGACGTAACATCTTTCCTTTCACCACCACCATCCCCCGCAATCATATACGCAAAGTCAACAAAAATCAGATTGGTCATTGAAACCAAAAGAAAAAACGCGGGAAATATTCAACACACTGTACAAATGATTTAAGATCATACATTGTGAATAATAAATTGTCATATATAAAAGAAGAACATATTACAAACAATACTTTTCATATATTGAATAGACAATTGAAATAAGATGGATTGTGAAGAGAATTAATTGACCGATTGATAATGATGTTAAATAGGCTAAATTGACTTATAACGTATACAACATAATAAGTAATATTGAAAGGAGATTAAAATAAAAACAAACATATAAGTCACTCTATACAATGGATCTATAATATGAGTTATTTAGGGAGTAAGTTATAATAGAATATATGAAATCATATTGATCACAGTTAATATAGACTATTATTTGTTAAACTAATGATAAGTTTAATTGTATATAACAATACGATCCAAGAAATCAGATCAAAACGATTCGATTGCAAATAGACCCTGAGAGTTATTCATGAACACGTAAGTAATAGATTTCATATCATTTAGCTGTTAAGTTATCCATAAGGTTTATACATGTCATAATGTAGTCCAAGGAAGTTCTTTCCATAATAGTTAGAATATTAGTAAGTAATATATTATAATAAATACTAGACAAAGTCAAATCAGGGAATGACAGTGAAGAGAGCAAGCAGAATAAACAGATAATGAGACTGTATCTGGAGAACTACGAAAGCCATCATCCAGAAAATACAGGTGTTTATTAACAGTTGTCTACGCAAAATACTTCGGATTCGTTGGCCGGACACTATTAGCAACAACCGACTGTGAGAAAAAACAAACTAGATCCCAACGGAGGAAGAAATTAGGAAGAAGTGCTGCAAGTGGATAGGACACACATTGAGGAAAGCACCCAACTGTATCACAAGACAAGCCCTTATATTGAATCCTCAAGGTCAAAGGAAAAGAGGAAGACCAAAGAACACATTACGGCGAGAAATGGGGATAGACATGAGAAAAGTGAACAAGAATTGGATAGAACTAGAAAAGAAGGCCTAGGACGGAGTGGGTTGGAGAATGCTGGTCGGCGGCATATGCTCCATTAGGAGTAACAGGCGTAAGTAACTGGAGAATTAATCTATACACTCAACAGGAAAACTGTGAACAGATTTTAAATATTCCTCTAATTAATATAAATGTATATAATAAGACTGTATCACTAAACACATGTACATTGGATGAATTTCATACTTTCTTGACATAAACAAGAAGTAGAATCTTTAAGAAAAACAATTTTTCTAAGCAAATATTCTTTTCGTTAGTAAAGTATACATTTTATCTATACAGATGATTTATGCGAACGACATATTCGTCCACATTTTAATGGGCATAAATCTTTTTCATAAATAGCTTCCCAATGTGCATGATATGGTCGAAATAAGTGACAAAGAAATGCTTCTAATACTGTATGTACGAATCTACGATTGAAACGTTCTTCCTGAAGCATATTAAATACACAGGATACACCACGACGAGTAGTTTCATTACCAAGAAATTGTGCAAATTCCTCTAGAAAATTTTATAATATTAATGAATTAGAAATACAGTAGTAAAATGATTGAAAATGAAAATCACATTGAGTCACAAATCAACTGTAATTGAAATCTAACTAAATCAATGGTACTATGCTTGAGATAAAGCTTAAATATCTTAAGTTAGATTATGCATGAAGTTGAGAATGTAAACACAACAAACTATTTAACATACTCCAGTTTTCAATGATTCTACGGATGATGCTAGTGGATTTTGAAATTTTATAGAACAATTCAAAATGTGAGATTTAACACATGATAATGTACATTAGAGAATGTTGGATATTTATACCTGAAGGCTGATAAACAGAAGCCGTTTTTAATCATGAATAAGGTTATCACGAACCTTGTTAAAGGTGATGTATGGGCAATCTCTACTTCTCTGTTGCATACACTGAGAAAGAATACTCTTTCTTCAAGTGCCTAAAAAGAAATTACGTTAGTAGTAGTGGTCTACGTGACATAGGAGCGTGACCGAAGTACTCAATCTATAGTGATTTACAAAGAATCGGCAACAGATGGAAAAACAGATTACATAAAGGATATAAATGGGAAGGATATGAAAATATTTGAAGGTCCTGGTAAAATATTTGAAAACAAAAAATACTGCAACCAACTTTTTTGAAAATAACATTACCAGGGTAATTAAAATAAAATCATATGTGAATCAAGAATGGGGCAATAAGAAGATAAACGTAGTGAATCACAGTGGGAAAGGTAAGGGTTTACAACATCTGGTTAGTGATTCAATAGTGAACCGAAGTAAACACAGTGGTTGAAAATACCTCTTTTGGAAATTGAAGTTAGATCTTTTGGACTTGATTCCAAAGCCTTACATTACGTAAGATAAATCGTAATCCCGCTTCTCTAAGTAGCCTGTTCAGGACTCGATACAGGGTTGAGAAAGCTTCACCCATATTTGTTATCTATCAAATTAGAAAGTTTGGTTTTGTTAATAGATTTTGTAAATCCTTTACTTAAATCATGTTCTAGAGCACTCAAAATTGAAATCTGAGTACGGCTACGTAAACCATTGCATAGGAGCAGGTGACTTAGTATACACACCTGCAAAATCTCATCAATAATATCTTATCCTTGATTTGTTGTCTACGTACAGGTCTCATGGAGAGGGTCGCTAGCATGCTTTGATTATTATAACTGTAGAGCCTGATAATAAAGTTATATATAAAACCGTTCAGTTGGGGGGTTAACACATAGCACACAGTGTATTGGTATCAGAATTCGAACACCGCACCTCACAGCAACAATCATCACTGAATACTTGTCATTATCAGTTAGCAATACTTATCTATACATTTATATAGATTGGGTAAATATGCGCTGTAATTTTAGCTTTTGCATCAGAATTACAACAAATATCAACGTCGATTTATGGTCTCCATCTTGATCTGAGAACAGTTAAGAGGTCTAAAATTATTAATGATGCTCCAAAAAAGAGAACGTTCAGATGCAGTCAGTCACACTAGAGGGACATTTTAAGGCATAAGTTCGAAGGTTGAACAAAGTAGACAATTGTTGACCGTACATTTACAACTATGTGAATACTCAGAACAAAAAGAGAACAGACATTTCACCTACCAGAAACACTTCCCAGTAGTACAGTTCTACAAAGAACACGAGTACGTAATTTCATCTCTTTGTCACGTTCAGTTAAAGCTGTAGATTTTAATGATTTATTTTTGGGAGGCCAAAAATAATCACGTAAATAAGTAATCAGTTGGGTGATTTTTGGTGCACTTGTCCATTCACAAGCCTTTTTTAAAACAACAAAAATATTGAGTAGTGGAAAAGATAAGCAACTTTGTTTTCCTGTATAAATTGACATAAAAATTATTCATATCAATATTCTTAAAAGATGAATAATGGCTAACAGTGGAATCAAAGACGACTGTTTCGTCCTATCTATAACTCGTTAACTGGATGTATCGATACTCATGTGCCGACAAAGGAATTATCCAAACCCATACCAATAATGATGTAATCAATTATTATTATAATTGTTAATGGCTTTATTCAATATTATATTTTTGGTACAGTATAGAATTATCAGCACAAAGTATTTCAACAAGTCTACTTTTCTTATTTCTTGAGCCTTTATTTGTACAGAAATCAGTTCAGTGTTGAAAGTACACGATTTTTGATCACTGGGTCGTATATTTGAGACTCATTCACTACTCTACATTGATTAGAACACTTATGAGGGTAATGCTTAACAATAACTCATATAAAGTGGAACATAAAGCAAAATATTGGAATATGTACGCCCCTAAATGCCCTGGTACGACCGAGGGTGGGGAGACTCAGCTCTCCCTCTCGAAATGATCTCACATAGTCACGCGCATACAGCCACTGACAGGGAAGTCCTACTCACGGCTTTCTCGCGGCATTACTGTTATTTACGAAATTAAGAGGACGAAAAGCGAAACTCAAGTGCTTTAACCTGGTTGGTGGAAACGTAGGGTCCACCTAGGGGAGTTGGAAAACCGTCATTCCAAACCAATAGTGCACATGAACCCCAGGATCCTGAGGGAACAAATGGCGTATGAACTAATCGTTGTTCGCCGGCTGCCATGGGACTGCATCTCCTAACGTTGCTCCACTGGCTTGTGGACTAGACCTTTAGGTAGAAGGCTCCAGGTGTGGCCCACTAAGAAAATCAATTGCTTCGGTTTGAGCACCCGGGTGGTATCAGAGCCCACACAAATCAAATGAGATTTGTGTGGCGCATATATATTTAATGCCTTCTTGTTCCGATTTTTATGTGTTCAAACAATAAATAACTGAGCTACAATAAAATTTTGTTGTTTTTGAAATCATGAGTCAGTTGAAGCTAGACCACCATTGAAAACCTGGAAGCACTGGACGGCCGTTTCGTCCTGGTATGGGACTCCTCAGCAGTGCGCATCCACGATCCCGCACCACGCGGGGCTCGAACCCAGGGCCTACTGGCTTCGCGCGCGAGCACTTAACCACTAGACCACCGAGCCGGCATCCAACGGTGTTAATGTCTAACTTCAACCAATCCATGAAGTTGCGCCACCGTACACCATTGTTGTTTTAAATCTTACACTAACCATAAAAAGCCTATCTGCTGCAGTGTGCATTGTTTATCAGTATACACACCAGCCTAAAATATAACAGCCATTGTGCATAAGTAATATGATAATATATCTAAACAGTACGATAAAGATCAGCCCCGAAACGAGAGCACATGAGTATGTTACAACTCACTTTAGCAATGATCATTTTATTGACTCGAATACCAAAAAATGTTTGGAATATTTTGCGTAAAATAGCGAAATTTCCTTGTCTAGTAAATTGACTTTCTCTATGTAAATCAAATATTTCATCGACTAATAAGAATAAAATTCGAATTGGTGTTTCATCTCGAACATTCTACAAAAAGTATTAAAACAAAATAACCAAACAATAAAATTTCAAGAAGTTCAGTGAATGCGAATATGTGGGGTAAACATGAGTCAATGATACTGAAATGGATATTTTTGTTGAAACTGAACAAAGTTAGGATGATTTATAATCATACATACAATACAAACTGCACAACATATTGTCACGATAAAAAAAATGCAGATTTATATTTCTAATCCTATTATTACTTGATGAAGCATATGATATACATCACTATCTAAGTAGAACAGCCGACACTTAAATCTAATGTTTAATCAAATGATCAAGAGTTAGATATAGGTCAGAATATAAGAGTACATGAACACACACAGTACGGAGCAGTCAAAAAATGGACTCAAAATGGAACAAAACTGGAACCAGCTTTATACATAAGTTATTCTATTATATTCAGTGTCCTTGGACATTATTAGCCAGTCATGATTTACTTCGATCAACACATAACATATGACAAATTAAAATGGTTGATAAATTATTTTGAGAAAAAGTATTGAATTAGTTACCGTCATAATTCACTAATCGAATGTTGTGTACTTGATCTAGGTTTACAAAACACAGCTATTCTAAATGATGGCTTATGTCGATGAGGGAGAAGGGAATCTCAATACTAAGACAGTCGCATTTCTTTTGAAATCTTATTGTCCACTTTTAGTCCATCTATTTTTTCAAACACAGTTCCTACGTAAGTTTTGTTAACTCATTGATTTAGTACAATTGAATTCTGGTTAGCAGTAAAATACAGGATATGTATTCTGTTCTATCTAGGACACACCAATTAAATCTCAGTGTTCACACATGGACGTGAACCCAATATGTTTCGCTTCAACGAAGACTCATCAAATACAGTTCTTAACATTAACAGTAAGAACGATGAAAGCTCCACGACCAAAATATCCAAATCAGAAAACAAAACTCCATCAAAATCATCCACCTGAGCTACAAATCTTCTCCACCATTTCACTAACGGTAGGAATAATTAGACTCTTTATTACATATTTAACTGTTGACGTTTTTCTATCTGATAAAGTCATGTGCTATTTTTGAACTTGCACTAATGTTGTGATTTTGCTGTTAATCATTAATTTAAAAGGCACAGATCAGGCATTAGAGTTATCGTTCGGAAATGTGATTTAAAACTATGACACTTCATTGTCAGACTTCCCAAAGTCAATTGTTTATTCAATTATTATTTTTATGATAGTAACGTAGTTCTAGACAAATCGCCTTTTAGTTTTTAGGTAGCTTAATATTTGAATTAGAATTCTTGTATAGATTCTACACGAATAACGGAATCTTACAACTAGGACAAATGGGGACACTTTAATTATAAATCAAACATTCACTCTATTTTATATAGTTCTGTTCAATTTTTAATTGAGAAGAAAACATCGCATTCGACAATTAGTGTGAAGTACAGTTAATTAAATCACTTTCATTCACGTAACAATCAGGTCAAACTCTTTGTGAATGAAATGAAACTGAATACTAGTTGAAAAGCCCAGTCACATAACTGTAGAGTGGTAGACTAGAAATCTGATGACGACTTATAGTTCGAAACTTGCGGCGACATAACACAAACATATATATATATATATATATATATATATGGAAAATTATAGAAAATTAGTATAAACAAACTCTATACTTACATAATCATATGAATCAGAACTCTTTGATGATTCTAATGACATATCCAATGATTCTTGTAATTCAAATTCACTGGATTTTTTCATCATTTCATCATTACGAGAAAGAATAGGTGAATTAGATGTTGGAAAATTTTTATTTGCGAATATCTTATTTAAACCATCAGCTAATGTATCTGGAACAGACATCATAGCATTGCTAACTGTACGAAAAGGTGTTAAAATTGCAGAGACCTATGACAAATAATGAAACAGAATTTATTTTCTTGTATCGCAAGATAAAATGAGAAAATAATGTTTATCTGAACATTGAAGGAAGTATACATACATATAATTCAACTTTTTAATAATAATAACGGAATGTATGATTTCAAGATGCTATTATAACCATTATCATCGCTAATCAGTTTGATTCTCTCTTAAGAAAATAACACAACTCAGTGATAACCTAGTAGAAGTTTGTGAATTAGATTTTTATATGTGATTACTAATAATAAAAACCGCCTGTCTAAACGGAAGGTGGAGCTAAGTTGTACCTGCAGATTAAGCAAACAAAACCGAAGTGTTTCAACTGCTAAACTATTAATCCTGTTTCCAAAGTATTCATTCATTTCTGTTGGCGCTTATTATTTACCAGTATAATGAGTTTGTTTGTTTTAATACCGACCTTAGTTAAGCAACTATTGAGAACCATGAAGTTAGAAATGCAAATTACTGGGAGCCGATTTAATGGTCTAGAGGTTAAGCGCTAGCTGCGATATGAAGGTCCTAGGTTCGATCCCCAGTCGGATTGCGGATTCAAACAGTAAGGAATTCCCTTGCTGGGAAAAGTCCAGTGCTTCCTAGTTTGCAATGGCTGTTCAAATAAGGTTACTCTAAGAAGTGAACTATGGGGTTAATGTGATAATTAAAAGTATTTGAATTATTGTACAACTTAGGAATTCCCGAAATAGGTCCCGGGTTCGAATCCCGCGCGGATGCGCACTGCTGAAGAGCCTTGTACTAGGACGAAACGGCAGTCCAGTGTTTCCAGGTTCTTCATGATGGTCTAGCTTCAATTGACTCATGATTTCAACCTATGAAATTTCTAAAAAAAATCTCCACAAAACCCATTCTAAAATTAGGAATTCCCGAAATACCGCAATCTATGTAGACAGAACTAGGTGAGTACTAACGAACGTATTGTATTTGGAATTCGAAATCAAGCATTCATCAAGTAAAAAGGAATCATTAGTTCATACAAACACCATAGCTAAGTTCTAAGTTTTAAGCCACTATCGTGGTATAATTTCTATGAACAGTTTGTAATCTTAAATAGAGCAAGAACAAAGATTGGTGCAGAATAATATGAATTTATATTATTCTGCACCAATCTTTGTTCTTGCTCTATTTAAGATAATAAAGGGAACTATGTGTATGAAGTTTGTAATCTAGTAGTTTGGAAGTTTATAAAGTGGTGAGTTGCATAGCTGGTAACACGGAAGATTTTGCTTCTAATCTGACTGTGTAAGACAAATTTATTTAGCATTGTTAACAACCAACCTAATATATTTACAGATATATATATACCATGCAAAGTAATTACAATAAATTTTAAGAACTTACAATACGTGCTTCAACATGACCTCTTTCCCAGCTATCAGGCTGTAGAAATTCAACGCACAAAGGACGACTACCTGGATGATTATTCTGAAATTCACTGCTACATAATGTCTATTATTAATAAATAAATAATAATAAAAATAACAGAAAATTAGCAATATAGTTGTTATATCCGGTGAAGATTAAATAACAGGTAACTTCCAAGGACTATTCATGGACTAATATTCTATAAATATTCTTATTGTATTACTACTCAACAATTACACTATGTATATTTATATTCCTTTTATGATAAGCTTTATTTTGACCTATAACTTATTATTGTACGATTTACGGTTCTTAAGTTATGTTCAGTTTATTAACTACTGCCTCCCACATTCACAGCCACTTTTTGGGCTTATTTGTGTACAAATGTTATTTCCTATTTTATGGTACGTTGCGGTCTGTGTGATTGATATATAAACCAAGTATGCCTGAAATAAACGATCTGCTCTGATTCGGAAGCTGGTATTGTGTTCTGGACTCAAGTGGAAGGGCTCGTAGGACATAGGACTAATAAGGACACTAAGCTGCCCACACCGGTTGAACGTCATTGGTTGGCCTAGTGTGAAGATTCGTATAAGTCGTATTCGGATTGGTAGATAAGTCGTGTGATCGAAAAGTCAGACATTCAAGGTCATAACAATAGTGTTATATTTTTTTAAACACTGCGTGGCATTTTAGCTTTAGTGTTCACCGTATCTTTACAAATAGTAGAGTTTCCTAATGTGAATCAGCTTAAGCATTATCGAAATGGATAAATCTAAAAAATAAAAATAAGTACTTTGAACGAAACTATCTAACCAGACTATTGCTACAGTCTTGTCATTCATTGCACAAACAGATGTCATGTATGTTTAACAATCGTCTACATCAGTGTGGGATGCTGGCTGGTGTAGTAAATTGGAAGAAAGTTAGAGGCGGTTAAATTAAAACGTAGCATCAGCCTATAAACTTAGTGAATTTTGGTCTAATACAAGTTAGTAGCTGTAGGCTACCGGGTTGGGATTCGCACTAATAACTTCACTAATGGTTGGAGACTACAAGTGAAATGGCTCAGAATCAGTCGGAATAGCGTGAATGCATTCACTTTTTTGTCATTTCTTAATTCTTGAGTTTCAGAATCATATTAATTTATTATCTCCTTTCGACTCATAGTGCCTGTGTCGAAATTTTACCACTACTATTGATACTCTTACTAGTTCTATTACTCTGATATTTGTTTTGATAATTTATGTCTATATACAATGGGGCAACTTAAACCAAAGGATGTGTCAGGTTTTACACTGCTTATGATTAACACGAACTAGGCAAACAAGTAAATCGACTCAATATTCAACTGTGATATCAATAAAAGGTCATTATATACAAAAGTATTCATTTAATAAATTAAGGATTATCTAACTGTTATCACAACTCAATTGAAGAATAAATAATTGGAGTGGCTGGGGAGGTTGAAATGTAACGATGAAACAGATTTAGAAATTGGAAATAAATATCATAGGAGACATAAACAGTGGACGACTAACTGAATTGTATCTAAGGCAGTAAATTTGTCATTTAAGTATTTTCTGGAACGAACAATTGGACGATTCTAATAGGTATACGATTAACTCACACCACTAGATACTCAGCCAGTGACTAATCAATTAAATATCAATGCAACTCAAATCAAGGATATGTTATCCACCTAACTAGCACGTATATTATTGATCAACATGACAAATACAGTGAATAGAAAAATTTAAATGACAAATCAGATATCTGCCTGACCATCTTTCAAATTGTCTGGAAACAACCAATCACCATTTACTTCTGACTATCCAACACCGACATATTATTAGTAGATTTGGTACTTGGACGAATACCAAGTAGTACGAAACCTAGGTTCAGGGTATCCTGTAGACTACCCCTAACCTCCATCCTACCACAAGTTTTCTTCATTATTATACAGTTTTTATTATCATGAACTTTATGTCTGTAGTTTTGCTTCACATCTGTCAAACATCCTTAGATTCTTTTCTTACCCCTTGATTACTGCGTAACCTCATTTGATATTTAGTCTCGAATAAATTTATGACATATATTATCCATATAACTATATATAGATGTACCGCGTAAGTAAATGATTTCGTTGAAAACAAAAATTTTCTTCTCTGAATTCTCTTTATTTTGATTGGCAAATATATCGAAAATGTATAAAACTATAAAGTACCACTATAACTATGTTTGGTTCTCTTGATGAAACGATGTTTTCCATTTTACAAAAGGATAAAAATTAGTTCATAATATATGTGTACTACGTTACTAAATTGGAATTGAACTATTTCCATCTTTTACCTTATATATTTGAGTGGTCATGCATTATCGTAATACTGGATTTTACATTTGATTGTAGAACTGTACTTAATGTATTTGATTTGCTTTTCTAGTGCATTAGTTCAAAACACCCAACTCATAGCAGTTAAAATTTATTGGGATTATATAAAGCTAAACTTACATTCAAATAAACATTAAGTCCACGTCGACGTTGTGCTAAAAATTCAGGGCTCATGTTATTAAATGCAATTTTCGATGGTAATTTGAGTTCAGTGATACGACCACACTAAAAAAAATTGATAAAATGTTATGGTAAGAGTATATGTTTTCCTTAAATAATGTTTAACAATGATATAGAGAACAATGTTTAAATTATATTAATCCATTTAATAGGTGTACAGGTTCGTATACTTAACTTTGAGTCATACTCGGAGTACGTAAGATATAATGATACTATTAATCGGTACCTTAAACAGAAGTAGACAGAACAAGTTTCTGAAAGTTAAAAAACTGAACCATTGCATTATCGCTCCATAAATCAACGATAAACAATTTAGTTTCTGTTATAACGCTCGGTCCCAGTGTCTGCTCTATAGGACTTCAATACAACTCAGATAAAGAACGCGTAATTAGCCTGACTAGAACGTAAATATAATTCCACATCCAAAAACCGACAACAATAACAGTAATTATAAGGGTGAGGGAATATATAACTAATCTAGTACCTGCCAGACTACTAGTCTGACTAAACAAACAATCAATGATTATCATCCTCTCCCACATATCAGTTTTGTAAATTTGGAAAGAAAAATCCCAAGTTTTAATAACAACCATCGACAAATGGCAACTCAATGGCTAAATCATTCGAATTTCAACCATTGGGTTTCAGATCTAAACACGAAGCATATACCTACCTCAATACACAATTTTCAGTCAGTCAGTCAGTAACAACGTAGAACTTCGTACGTACGTACATCAGTTCGAGTTGCCACATCACATTAGCACAGAAATGCAGTTGTCGGTCCAAATCCCGTAGTGGTAGAGGTGGTAGGAGTATAAGCAGTAATCGGAAAGATTAGGGTTTGAAGATGTTATTTAAAGAGTATAATCCAGTGAAACAAATTTGGAAAGAGAAAAAAGAAAGACATGAAGAATTCAGAAGATTAGAATTTGGGAGGACACAAAGGTGGATGCACCTGCGCCAATGCAAACGGGTCATATCATTCAAGGTCTCTAACCATCGGTTGCTATCATCTCACGGTCCCCAACCAGGTAGTCTACACCTACCAACATGGTTCAGTTCACTTGTCGGTGAGTTCATGAATTTCTGCCATCTTTTGGTTTGGCCGACCCTAGCTTTCTTCCAACCCACTCCTGCATCATAAAACATCACACGTCGGGGCAGTCGGTGGTTAGGCATACGTAACACGTGTCCGAGCCATCTCAACTGATGAAGTTTCACTACTTCATCAATTGATTTGCCATCCTTACCTAGTACCCGTTTCCTAACAACTGAGTTACTTACTCCATGGTCCCAGGATATACGAGTAGTGTTTCGAAGACACCTATGATCAAATACTAGTAACCTACGAATATCCTCTACTCTTACCGGTCATGTTTCACTGCCATAAAGTAGGACGGAACGAACTGCTGCGCAGTAAACCCGTCCTTTGGTTGATAGACGGATATCTCGCCTACGCCATAAATGACGCAAGTTGGCAAAAGCTAGTCGAGCCTTCTGTATCCGTGCTGAGATTTCGTCACAAACCAGACCACAAGAGCTGATAGACTCCCAAGATCAGTGAAGAATACACGAAGTTAGTTATTATTCATGAACTGTTGAACTGAAATCAAATATCTGCTCAACATTAAGTGGTACACTTAGAGTGCATAAACAATAAATGTTGTTTCGAGTGAATACTTAACTGACTTGATACATACTCCTGAATATCAAGAATTCGATTACTTAAGTAAAAACATGAAGATGATTGATGAGGATATATATTCGACTTCAAAAATAAATTAAAAATTATATTTGAATAAAGTAATTCATAGTCAGGTTTGTATTAGATTAAACTGAGTTGTGTATAACATTAATTAATGTATAATTTATTGAATAAATATTAAAGAGAGCAAGAACAAAGATTGGTGCAGAATAATATGATGAATGATGGGAACCTAACGAAATAAAATGCATTCATATTATTCTTCACTAATCTTCGTTCTTGCTCTCTTTAAGATAATAAAGGGAACTATATGTATGAATAAATATTCATTGTTGTTTACCAAAAAAGATATATGGCTATGCTTACTAATTGAAAATGTGATTACATATTAATAGATATTAAGGAAGACAAATCAATATTGAATGTAAATCGTATTTAAATTAATTATGACTTTAGTCACTAATCACAAAAACAAACAATAAAACAATAATCAGAAGGGGTTTTGTGAAGATTTTAGTAATTTCAATATTTGAAATCACGAGTCATTTGAAGCTAGACCATCATGGAAAACCTGGAAACACTGGACGACCGTCTCGTCCTAGTATGGGACTCCTCAGTAGTGCGCATATACGACCCCGCCTCGCAGGATCCGAACCCAGGACCTACCAGTCTGGCGCGCAAACGCTTAACCATTAGACCACTAAGCCGGCAACCAACGGTGTTAATATCTAACTTCAACCAATCTAGTGAAGTTCAACCACGTCTGCTGTGATATATCAGCTCACTGAAGACAATGGTGTACAGTGGCACGATTTCGTGGATTGATTGAAGTTAGACATTAACACCGTTGGATACTGGCAGGCTCAGTGGTCTAGAGGTTAAGCGCTCGCGCACGAGACTGATATGACCTGGTTTCGAATCTTGCGGGAGGCGGGATCGTGGGTGCGCACTGCCGAGGAGTCCCATGCTAGGACGAAACGGCCGTCCAGTGTTTCCAGGTTCTCCATGATGGTCTAGCTTCAATTGACTCATGATTTCAATAAAACAATAAATTCATTAATTTCTTTATTTTTCTATTATAACTTACTCTATTTGTAAGAAACGAGTGCAGTTCAACAAAATGTCTGAAACGACGTAAAGTATTCCAACATTCTGACTGAGCATTAGATAGTATAGTACGTGTAACTTTTATAGTATAAATTACATAAGAATCATGCATTATTTCTAGAGAAAAAAATGAATGCAAATAACTTATTTAGTTTTGTGTTTATTAAGTTAAATTGGTTTATAAATGTAAAATGCAATTTAATAAAAAATTTTGGTAGAGATATACTTTATTCATGATGAATGTAGGGATATAGATGAATATTTATTCAGCTAATTCTTTGATTTTAAGAATAAAGAGCCTTTAATTTACCTTTAAGGCTTCATGAATCATGTCCGCTATTCTTTAGTTTTCCTATGTCTATTAGTTTTAAATGTTATCATAACTTAATTCTTATTTAGCTCTTGATTAAATACAAGCTAATCTTCATTGCATCTTGAATTTTGCGCAAAGATTCAACAATCAAAATCTTAAATATACATCTAAATGTAATAACTGAAGGGTTCAAATTGTAAATAAAGAACACTCGAGTGCTGTTAAAAGCAGTTGTCACTTCCAGGTTGTATACATCATGGAAAGACGTTTCTTGAGTTGGATTAGTAGTGGTCTTAGCAACCTGGTAGCTTCACTACAATACACAAGGATAAACTCTTTAGGGCCGATCAAACAGGATTTTTATGGGTTGTTTATGATGTGTTAACCATGTACCTGCAATTCTTACTAACTATAAAGAAAATCATTGGAGGAAGATGAGATGGACTAATTTTAGGGTTAACATTTTCTAACCCTATCATTTCGTTGTGAATAAGGATGATCGCTGCAGATGCTGGTTGTTTGAGGAAAACATCTTATTGCCGGTACAGTCGGTAGCACGATTGGACCTTAAGTTGCTGCTTTTGGCCTAACTGTTCTCTAACCAACTTGCCTGACATGATAAGACTTAAATGAACATGTATTTTAGCCAATACAACTAAATTAAGTCATAGCGATATGGCGTCGCGATAACCACATCCATGTAGCAGCTACAGTTAGTTATGGATGACTGTAGTATGAGGTAAATAATAATAATTATAACACAATTGAATCAACAGCTGCGTAAAAAGTCGCACGGTATAACACATAAGCTGCTAATGAACAAACACTACGTATAACCGAGACAAAGACTACCATATACATGAAATTTTAGGCTTAAATAGTCTAGTTTAGTCAATAGAAACATATAAATTACCTGCCCGAGTTATGACAGCTGTGTAAGCATCATCAAAAACCCCACATCCAGTATTATTTGTTGATGAAATGATCTTTTATTTCAAAGAAGGAAAACGAAATGTAGCAGAAAAGTTAGCAAGTTTTACAAGAATCATGTTTAGTTTCCAAATAATGAAAATATATCAGAACTCATTAAAGTATATATTTTTACTGCCAAAAATCCCACCACCTTGTACATTACAATTGTTTTGTCCTCTTAATTTCGTAAATAACAGTAATGCCGCGAGAAAGCCGTGAGTAGTACTTCCCCGTCAGTGGCTGTATACGCGTGGTCATGTGAGAGCATTTCAAGAGGGAGAGCTGACTCTCCCCACCCTCGGCCGTACCAAGACATTTGAGGGCTTCTAACATTGCTAACCAGTAAATCATTTAACCCAAAAAATACTTTTAAATGATACACGATACTGAAGAAAGATAAGATGATAACCAGGTATTTATCTATGTACTAGGTTGAAAATTACAATGTCACACGCAATGATTAAATTTTTTTACCCAAGCTATCTGTCTAACGACTATACAAACATTTAAAATATAATTTCATAAACAATTAAAACCACTTGATACGGACTAACGATGAGCTTGATTTGAAGCAGAGACAAAGTTCAAAACTTTTATTTCAACTAACGTGTATTGTGTTATTAAGTTAGTATACGAAACTTCAGAGTATTTATACTGGAAAGTGATTTATAAATTAAAAACGTTTTACGGCAACAACCTATACACATAAATCGACGAAATCACAGTCAACTTCATGACTGACATAGTGAAGTAAAACTGAGAAAGAATTAGTAATCGAATGAATGATCAATTCTGTAGTTTGAATTCAGCGAATTATGTCATTTTTCTACTTCAACCATGGAGAATATAATATGGTGAACACATTGGTTAAAACTGCATTTATTTTTTTATTAAACATTATGCTCCGCAAACAAAACAATAATTCAATATTTGAATAGATCACTCTAAATCAGTGAACAAAACGATGGATCAGCGACACAACGACAAGACAAGCCAAACTATTACAATGCGTTCCAGCTCCGCTAACTAGAGGTAGAAGTCCAGGTTTAGATAAAGGAAAGTATATTCCACAAGCAACTAGAAGCACGAACAACAACAAGCACACAACAAGTATATATATATATATATACTTGTTGTGTGCTATATATATATATATATATATATATATATATATATATATATATATATATACTAAAAGAGGCAACCAACCAATGACATGTAGGGTCCTTTCAAGTGAAAAATACAATCTGGAGGCAAAAATTGAGCGCTTTTGGCGCGACGACGAGAAATTCAAATTTCAAAAATAAAATTACGAAAATAAAACGTTAAGCAAGTGATTTCCGGGGATCTAGTATCCAAAAGAAATAATTTTTAAAGATCATCTTTATTATTGATTGGCATCATAGAGGTGCAGCCATTGACAACCAACAATCAATCAACAACTGTTAAGTTCTGAAGCTCAGTAGCCGTTAGTACTAAGTAATTAATGAACACATGACAAGCGGAGTTAACCAATTTGAAAGCACCTTAGCAACTAACCGATGACACTGGGATAAAAATCGTGACTAAATTTGAAAATGTAAACACTGAACTACGATACAGTGGTCTAATAAGGTCGAATCCGTAACAAGATCTGACAGTTGTTAATTTGATCGTCTTCATAGAGTCATGAGTGCTCTCACTGTCGAGAAGTTTCAAACTGGGACAAGATTATTATCCAATGCCACCTAGTTCTTAATAGATCTACAAAATCGATGGGAGCACTTGACGAAAAGTTTGTAACCCATTTAGTTATGCAAAATGTCATTGATACCATCCTCATCCTATGATTACGAAGTAATCAGATATTAGAAAAGCATATTAAATAAAAATTTGATTGATTATGAATAACAGAAAAGTCGAAATGTAATTGAGCAAAACACATTCACGTACAGGAGGTTCCGATAATCTTGGCAGCCCTGATTGTTTCGTTTCTGAAGAAAAAAAGTCAGTAAATATTCGTCAAATGAATAATTCATACGGGTAAATTGTTTAGGGGAAAATATATAGTAATTTAACTGATAAATAAAGCTATAATATTATTAGTATGTGAGATCGAAGAGATTGTTGAATTTCGTTGTTTACATTACAAAGTGAGGAACTGAGGAACAAAACTATTAAAGTTTATATATCCCTCCAAAGAATAAAAGAAATACGGTAAAAACTCATTCATTAGAGAATAATGCTTTCACACTGTTTGAATATCAGTGATAAATCTTCGATTGTTAAAATGAAGTAAATGAATTCTGGTCGTTAAATTCTATGGAATAATACGATATAGCTGAGTGATGGTTGCTCACGAGACTGTATATGAAATCAAATACAAGACCACTAGTCTGAAAAATAAGTTTTTCTTTGAGTAAACGAGCATACTTAAACGCAAATTATTAACAGAAAAACCGACATGATTAAGTTCTATAGTTGATTAGAGAAACCGGCTACGTTGGTTCATAGCTCTTCAATCAACTAATTACTAATCATCATCTCAGATTGTTTGACTAAATAGAGTAGTTCACACAGTGAGAATAAACGTAAGCCAAGATACGATACAGTTGGTGAGACATATATTGGGATTTGATGACAAAACTCTGTTTATCCAGAAGCTTTAATGAACATCTCTAATGAATCTATCTTGCGGAAAGTATAGAATTAAATGGTGAGGGGACAGATGTCCAACTTAGTGTATTAATATTCACTGGATTCATAAATTTTAAATTAGTAAAAATTGTGGTGTTAATACACAATTCAATAGATTCAACAATATAACTTGGTTGCTATATGTTCAAATAAGAAAAAAAGTCGTAAATCGGGATTTCAGCGATGTTGCATTATTGGAGGTAAATAGTTCAAACATAAGAATTATTGAAGAGAATCTAATACTATGAAATTAGTTAATACATTACAATATATAATGTAACCTTACAGTATATTTTATTTCCTAACCTAAAAAAAAACATTTGTAAAAATCGACCAACCATTCAAATATTACAAATAGTAGTACTTTTAATTGAATCTTTTTCCAGTTGAGAGATTATAACATGAGGAATTCTCACCATGACATTATCAATTTATCAGTAGTGAATTAAACACCTAACGTTCATAAATATGATAAACATCAGACAGATTCTTGAATAAATAGTATAATTTTATCTCCTTTTTGTTTAATAGTTGAATTCATGAGTCGATTTAAGCCAAATCACCATTGAAAACCTGGAAGCACTGGACTGCCGTTTCGTCTTAGTACAGGACTCCTCAAGAGCGGGTGTCTACGATTCCGCACGTGGGACTCGAACACAGGACCTTTAGTTTCGAGCACAAATGCTTAACCTCTAGACTATTCAGCCGGCATCCAACGGAGTTAAAACCAGACTTAAACCCATCTACGATATTGCGCGACAGGTCGCTATTGTCTTTAGTGAGTAACTGCTTCATGACAGACACGGTTGAACTCTACTAGAATATCAGGAAATGCATCTTGAAGCCAGTCACTAGTGAGTACACGGTAATTGTTATCAGAATGGGGGATTGTGCTAATTTAATAGTTTAATTCATGAGTCGATTTTTTGTCGTTGTTGTAAATGCTTATTTATGATTATTCCACTTACTGAGAAAAATGTAAAATATTACCTTTAGAACAGTCATTTTCTATACATTTCCAATCTGTACAATCTTCAACAGAATTCGCAGAACATGACATTTGAGATAAGGAAGAAACATTATGAATTACAGAATCGCTTGAAACAGTCATTTTGTCAGGTTGAGATAATGATTGAGATTGACTTTGGGGTAATGTATCATTTGAAATGGAAGGGACGGATATAAAATTAGACGATGAAGATTGTTCTAATGGTTCCTTGAGTAAATCTAACTCAGCCAAAAGATGAATATACTGACTACTACGTTTAAATGCACCAAAACAATCGGGACCTGAGAGAATGTTAACAATCTGTTAAATGTAAAACGTTTGGTTAGAAACCTTGATTGAAGCCAAATAAGGATAAAGTAATGTAAAAGAAAACATGTTTCGCTTCATTAGGAACTCATTAGCTAGACGTGGGAGTTCTCAGCTATTAAGGTGTAGACGGTATATCTAAACCGCGCTTCAGCGAGTTTAGTTTGGGTATTTGAGTAGTGTTCTATGATCCTTGATCTGACAACGATTTGGATGGACGTATTAATATGTTATGATCATAAAACTGCCATTTAACTTCGTATATTGCCTAGACTAACCCCGATTGTGTGACGGTGGCAATAAGAAGTCAAATACGGGTTGCGTTGGATGGACTTATTTCAAGAGACCGTTTATCCAAACAGACATTAAGAATGAAGAGCGGAGGCCAGTTTGCTGATTCTATTTGATAAAGAATGATTCAATATTTATACCCAAACAAAAATAAACTAGATATGTAATGAATAGGGTACGCGATACACACACATACGCTCATGTAAAAACAGTCAAGGTTAATAAGCCAACAATTGAGGTCAAAATGTGATTCAAGAACAATCAACAAATTGGTCCGTCAGGAAGCTAGAATAACCCATGTGGGCTTGATATAGTACTAGATACTACGGTATCACTAGCCTTGATCACAAGAGGCCTAAGATAAAATGCATAGGTATGAACGTGCTAACCAAGTGACGTTATGCTTGTAATATCAGATTGAGATACACTAGACTACTGAATCATTATTATAATCTTTTTTCTACTTAGATTCATTTGCTTAACAATCCAAGCTCCACGATCTTGCTTTGCAAAGTCCAATTTATGACCAGAGTCTAAGGCAAGTTATTGATTATTATAATAAATCGCACGAGTACTGAAAGGCAGGATACCCAAAACCATATCATTTTCAACCATATTGTAACAAATGCAGCCACCATTTCAAATATTTTGGTTTAGCCAGAAAGAGAGTATCTGAAATCCGGATTTAAATTCCCCATCCTATAGTTGAAATCAGTTTTTAATTTAATGGAAACAAATTCTATGATTTTTGACAATGGACGGTTTATGTCTGTTAATCAGGGAATAAGACGAATGATGATCAATAGACGATGATGTGCAATGATACGGTGTAGCAGAGCGATAATTTCTAACGACATCGAACTATCGATGTAACGGTTAAAATGAACTAATGCTGAAAAGCAAGAGATAAATAGCCGGGAGGTAAGTTTTATCCACTAAACGTTTATTTACGAAGTAGTAAATACAAAAATAAATATGAATATATACACTTAATCAATGTACTATATCTTCTTTAAATGGCAATTATTATTAGTGGTTGTTCAACCATAACACACTATAATATGAAGAATGAGTTAAAATCTTGATACATTTTGATTGTTACTTTAACAAAACTAGGTTTTTGTTATTGTTATTTGTTAACTAAACAGTCGGTCAGTCATATACAAAGTAGAAACTGGCATATAGGTACATTGGTTTGAGTTGTCAAACCTGATTAGCACAGTGAGATGGAATTGTCAGGGTAAGTCCCAAGTAGTAGAGGTAGTAACAGTATTTAAGGATCCAACTCAGATGAACAGGACCAATGGACTGGTTAAAGCCTCTATATCACTTTCCCACCACAGTGTTCGTTTTAGGAAGATAGTGTTGTCTGTTTTGATTGAGATTCATTTTGACCCACGGATCTTGGTAACTGAGGAACGACTGAGTTCATTTTAATACGAACGTGTCCTATGACGGATTCCATAGAATAAAAACTGACGATAACCCTCAACAATAAACGAGGTTGAGAAGGAACACACAAAGAAGGCGAGAGTGTGGGAAAACGTAGTACTCAAGCACGTACATTAAAATGGTACATCTTCACATATATAGTTATAAAAACAGAAACTTTTAACACAGAAAATTAGCAAACGAAAAGTAGTGGTAATTAAGCGGAGGAGAGCGAAGACCATGAGAAGATTCGAGCTAGAAAGAAATATTGGCGGTTATTGTTATCAGTAATAGTCCAACGTTTATTAACGAAAATTGAATGACAATATGATTTTCTTAGGACATCTACAATGAAACTATGAATGTCCCACCACATAATTTAGAAAATCGGATCACTATTGTCTCCGGATCCTGTAGGTCTCTAGATGCACCTGTCATCAAAACAATTTGTTAGTACTTTTATTTTCTCCAATCTCTATGTAGAATGGTGACTCCATCAGACAGTCAAATGGAGTTATAATATCTGTGACCAGCATCAGAATTAATGCTTCCGAATGATAGATCTGTAAAGCGAAACTTCCATCTGTCGTATAACGTTGCTAAAGGTTTGCTGATTATTATTATTAATGGCTTTATTATATTTTGGTACAATTTAGAATTCTCAGCACAAGGTATTTCAACAAGTTTCTTTTACAAAAAAACAAAGACAAAAAAAGGAAAACAAAGGTTTAAAAAAATCTGAAAAACTGTACAACTTTCCGAATTTGAGACGTGTTAAGAATGCAGGTTATTGACTAGGTTAACTCTAACAACTTGTTCGCCTTAGCCTTCGTCACATATATTGAGTTGGATTGAATAAGTAACTATTTTGTAGCGCATCTGAATAATCTACTTGGAAAGTAAATAAAGGCGAATGTTCGTGATCAGTCATGATAATGAGATGGATTTAAAGTCGGACGCATTTCACAAATTTCATCAAATGCAGCACATATACAAATTTGTAATTTTGTTGTTCATTAAAATATGAACCGATAGAATAATCGTATCAAATTTCATAGTGTAAATTGTATAGACTTCAGTAAACGAAGGTGGAGACATCTTCAATGTTAGCACATATCACTGCCTCCACTTGATGTATATGAAAAACACCGGACAGTAAAGATAAAATTAACCTAGTGATATCAATTTGCGTAGATTGTATTTTTACTTAAATGTCATTGAAGGTAGTCCTATATTTTTACAGATCGCCTGTTTATTTTCAGATCTTATGAGAGAGACCACATTGAAAGATACCGTTCGACAAAACATCGAGAAATCCTTAGTTAGCGCGGCCCCATACACACTAGCTGCGAGCTAAAGTTAACGTATATTCCACAGGGGATTCGCAATTCGTATCACCTAGTGTCAGATATTGTTATCAATTAACAAGAAAAATTTAGAAGTTAGTCTTTATCAGACGACTAAAATATTCAAATTTTCGGTATTAATATTCTTATTACTTACATGTGCCTCAATTTCAGTGAATGCATTAGGATTTAATGAATTCGGTTCACCAGTAAGTGCCTTTAATGTACGTTGGATTAGTGGTTCAGCTGATAAAGGCATAAAGTGCAATAAATTACTGCATATTGTTATGCCAAATGCGCGCAACTGTTCAATAGAATCATCAACAATCTCATCTTCTCCACTTTTTTCTAGTATATTTTTCTTAACATTTTCATTTATGACCATTGTGTTTTGCTGTCCACCTTCATCTAAAGATGTTGTTATTGAATCTGCTTTTTCAATTAGATCTTTCTCATTGTCACACAAACTGGAAGCAACTTCAGTTTGTGTGCCTTCAAAATTAGGAGGATCTGAGACTGATAGAGATTCTTCATCGGTATTAATAATGTCAATTGGATTTGTAGGATTTAAGCATAAATCTTCAGTTATAATACTAGTTGACATATCAGAAGTAATAGCCTCCATTCGTGAAGCTTCAGCAAGAGCCAACACTGAAGGATCAATATTTTGATTAAGAGTTGCGTTGGGTATTAATTTACTGACGCCTTCACGGAAACTCTGGAAGAATAAAGAAGGATTGTGTAATTTATGATACAACACGGTTTTTATCTAGAAAATGACTTGTTACAACCCTATTAAGTGTCTTATTATATTACTCTTTTTGTGAAAATCCGAACATTTTAATGTGTATTTTGAAATGATCCGATTATCTATTTATCGGATTTAACAAGAACACTGTAAATATACGCTTTGTCCGATGTAGTGTTTGTCGCAGTTGGTACAATTTATTTTGTAGATGATGTTTGATTTGTTTTCCTTTGTTATTTCATCTTTTGGTTTGCATAGGATGCAAAGCGGACGCCCCCTCCACCTACGCCTACATGAACATCAATTAGCAGTCAAACGCCATGATATCTCTTCACTTATATCAATACACGTGGATAACTACGGACATTCATTCGATTGGGAAAATGTAGAAATCTTAGACAGAGGAAACTCCAAAAACACCAGAGAATTTTTAGAAGCTTGGCACTCAGGTCAATCAGCAATCAACAAACACATTGAAATCAATCCAATTTATCAACCAATCAGGAAAATCATGCATAAATATAGGAACAAAAATCAAACCAATGGGAGACACAACCAAAACAAAGAAGTAAACAATGATAAATTTAAGGTCAACAAGAACCAATCAACATCGAGGTGCACAGAACAAGCTGTGAAACACATATGGAGAAATTCGAACACTTCACTTCTATCTGAAGTTTGTGCTGATGATGTCGTTCAGAAGAACGAAGAAAGCTCCACGACCAAACCATCCAGCTCAGAGAACAAAACTCCACCAAAATCATCCACCTGAGCTACAAATCTTCTCCACCATCTCAAAATACATTTTTATATGCATACGATATAATCTTGTGGTTCTATAATCGGTTAGATAAATGAACCTCTTGCACAAATAAATATTTATTCAAATTAAGTGACCTGTTACTTATTAAGGAGTGATAAAAGACATATTCATCTATACTAAATATACAATAGATTATGTTATATTGTAAAATTCACTCGAATTACAGACTACCTACTAGCTGTATCAACAATTTTTTGTTCCAGTCTGTTTTTTTTTTCTCAATGGAACGGTCGGATCGTTGAGTAAACTGTTTCATCCAATTAACTATCATAATCTAGTGTCTAATATTAGCAGTCTAAATAATTCAATTATTTTCCCGTTAAAACACATCTCTGTATGAAAGAGAATAAGTAATCAGTCGTTAATTATTCACCATAGTAAGCATCTTGGAGCAAATTTTTTCAAATTGCATTAAAATGCGACTGAATGACTAAGTACATGTTTCTGTATTTGGTACTGGACCACACTTTATGTGTAAACGTTTATGATATAACTACATCGAATAAACCGAAATAGATGCAGCGGAGTTTCAACCCGCAATAAAATGATTGAAAGAGGAATGCTTAGCCACCTACCTACTATTGTTCACTAACTTGTATCAAAGTTAACGTGATAAAACAATTTTATGATACGAAAATCAGTTTAGTTAATCAAAAGAAATCAACATAAATTTTCATGTCTAAGTGAAACCATTCTTTGTGAGGACATGGGGGTATGAATTTGTTTTGGTAACATACGTCAATAAACAACCTTTTTCAAATATAAAATGTCCCAGAAAAATTTGTCTATATCTATTTCTGAAGTGTAGTTATTCAGCGAAGACAAACAGTCGTTTATAGGAAGTGCATAAAGAACATATTATGTTGTGAATTCATATAATTATCGATCTCTACTTTGTAATTCATTGTGCGTAAATTCCTAGTAATTGTGTCAACAAATTGTTGTCTAGTTAAATTCCGTTCTCAAGCATGTTAGTTGGACATTGTGAATATGTATGTCCTATCTATAATTGTGAATGGATAATCTAGTAACCAGGATTGTCAGCCCGTATTCTTGAATTATCGTATTATATATTGTTAAGTCTGTTTTACACTTCCCCTACACTCTTTTGCATATTGTTTTATACTACTTATTAATATTCAGTAAAAAGTTGTATTCCTCGCAATCTCTGAGCTTATGTTGTGGCGCAAGTTTGTTGTGTAATATTCTGAAATATTTACGTATACTTATAACATTTATTGTATTTATCATCGTAATTAGGTTATCCCAATCATTCTAGCAATTATTCACAATTTTGTGTATTTTTCTAACCCTTGTTTAAACGCAACGGTTTTCACATTTTTCGCTCTTAGTTCGGTTTTTCCTTGTTGATAAACAGTTACCAACTTAGGCACAACTAACAGCTGTCTTTTGCACTATCGTATACTGCAATTACTCTTTATGTTACTATTACAGCAAGCCGCTTTTATTTCAGACAGTAGGACGCGGCAAACGCCGTAGACACCTTATACTTTGAGGTTTGTAACTAATTTTTGTATATTGTTCAATAAATAATCGCTATTTTAGACAAATCGTTGCTTCGTGAACTTCAATGTTGCGCGTATCTCAATTGAGTGATTTGGACGCTTCGATTGACTTGATATATATATATATATATATGTTTTAAACTGAATAAAAAATGCATTAATAAGAGCTTGCTTACCACACAATTTAAATACAATCGAAGTAATGAATGTTTATTAATGGAAGCCAGAAAATCTGAAATTACAGAAAGAAGCAGACAACAAACAAATAGATAATAACAATAGAATAATAAATAACTCCAAGAAAAACACACGAAATATATATATATATATATATATGTCAGTGAAGCATCTTGGTCACTGTTTACAACAGTGATGAATAGTCAGTTTTATTTCAAACTGCAAGCGTGTTAAGGACTTATCCATAGTATCAGAATTTCGAGTTTCAGTCAGTGAAGCTTAAGGTTTAAATTAACATAAAACTCGAACACTAACAAACATTAACATGTAATTTGAAGCACATTTTCAACTGACAAGTGAAGCTTGAATCGAAGAATGTATAGCAAATATATTAAACACGAAAGAGGAATTGATGTGGAGTTGGGTGACGTGAAGTTGAGTATTGAAAATTAAAGGCCCCAGAGCTTGAGTCATATTCGTTTCACAAAGGCTAAAAATACAAGTTGGTTTTAAACTTTCGCCGCACTTTTGAGTTAAGATTTGATTAAAGAGATCTGGGTAGTTAAAGAGAACGAATACAATGCAGATCAATAGAATACAGCGATGTTGCCGAAAGTGGGTTATTGAACTAATCATGCCCGCTCATTAAAAATTATATTAAAGACAAGACTACCAGCTATAAGAATAGATTCTCTATCTAAAGAACATACTTATTTACAAAATCTTACTACAAAAATAGTGATTAAATGACGCCAACGATTTTATACATCCTTCACTCTTCGATAAAATAAAAGATGGATAGTAGGCTTAATTCTTTGCCATCACACCATCAACAGACAGACCTAATTCATGGCCACAATTAAGTTTAGCACAGCCACAATACATTGTTTCCTATCACACTGGATGATAGTTTCTCAGTACTACTTCAATACGTTTGAACATAAAATATGGAAAATACAGGGTTCCAACTTGGTGGATGAAAATTATAGGTTCTGCTAGAGACTGGAAATGTGAACAGGTATATACACTAACCAAGAGTGTGAAACAATGATACAAACATACAGTTCTCTTGTTCGTAGTATCTCAAAAATGTCTGTTTTCTGTATTTGCGCATTAACTTTCACCACTTAAAATGTCTTCCGTTTCTATTGCGGTTAAAAACTATATTTTACTATTACACGCTGGCTGCTCGCTGACAACTTGAAGTTTTTGCTTAGACAAGTTACGAAACTACTGGTTCACATATAGAAGTTTCATAAATCTACAATATTCTAGTATATGCTTTTATTGGTGATCAATATCCACTTAAAACAAAATACCAGTGATTTATAGGGTGTTGAATAATTAAATAAAGGCGTTTAGAAATCTAGTTTTTTAACTATAACTGTAATAAAAAGTATAGACAGACAGACATCAAACCGTTGTTGCTACCTGGACGTGGTGGTCGGGCTTGCCTATCGTGATGAAGCAACCGAGCTATACTGGCTGGAACAACTGTTCCTCAGGGTCCTACCATGTCAGACAGATCGGTTGATGAGCGGTAAGACTAAATGCAACAAATCCAAGGTCCGAAGGCGAAGTCGTACTGCTGACTGTACAGAGGTGTGACAGCAGTAAGGTGTTTCCTTCAGACAACCAGCACGACAGCGATGCTGCCTTTCCACAAGGAGGGGTGTGGTTAGAAAAGGTCGACCCTAAAAATGCACACCTCGCCCTATCCCACGGATATCCGTCTCCGGCGGTAAGGTCTCAACAAGTACGGAGCTAACACAAAAATTGCCCATATAAAGGTCGTGTGTGACCGACCTCAAGCAGTTGTCCCTTGGGCACTGCGGTCACGCTCCCAGGTCACTAAGACCACTTCTAATCCGATTTCCTTTTCAGGTACCTCCAGAAGAACCCTTCCTCGGTGTGGGCAACCGGGAAGTTATAACCGCCCTCATACCTCTAACATCACTCAAGATCACTGTATTCATAACCAACCTCCCTCTTCAATTCTTATTATTCCTCATACATCAAATTCAAACTCTAAACTTCTTTTTTCGGCCTCCCCCTCAAGTGTCACCATAGCCAATGATTCTAGTGCTCAAAACACTGTCCCAGATCTACTGAAACCTCGCTCCACACTACACATTGGAGCCTTCAATGTACGCACCCTATGTCAAATCGGTCAGCAGGCCTCCTTGGCTAAAACCCTAGAATCTCGTACCATTGATGTATGCTGTGTCTCCGGAACACGCATACAGGATCCCAGTGTGGTCATTCACTTGACCTCACCTCGGCAAAACGGAGAGCCAACAAGATACACCCGTGTATCTGGTGACCCGACGGGCAGCTCTCGTGGACTGGCAGGAGTAGGCATAGCACTAAGCATGAGGGCGGAACAAGCACTGTTAGGGTGGATCCCCGTTAACAGTCGTTTATGTGCTGTTCGGCTTAACGGCTCCGTAAGAACTCGGAATTATAGGGACACACGTCATTGCTTTTTCGTTGTTTGTGCCTACGCTCCCACTGACTGCAGCCCGAATGAACTGAAAGATGGATTTTACAGAAAGTTTTCTAAACTTCAAAAAGCTAAACACTCAAACATAGTACTAGTCGCAGGTGACTTTAATACTTAAGCAGGTAGGTTAAACCAAACAGAAAGGCATTTAGGTGGGTATTTTAGTATACCGGCACAACGAACAGATAATGGTGATCGTCTGCTGCAACTATGCTCAGACAATCGTTTATTTTTAGCAAACACAAAATTTAAGCATAAGGAGAGACATCGTCTAACATGGCGACCCCCTGCACCAAACCAACGATGGACTCAAATAGACCATATTGCCATCAGTCATCGTTGAAGAGGGTCGGTACAAGATTGTCGCTCATTCTGGAGTACCTGCTTGGACTCCGACTACGCCCTAATACGGGCACGCATCTGCTTGCGCCTCACTGGGCGCAAAAAAGCCACATTAAAAAGACCCATTAGAACTGAGTTGAGTAACGAGAAAACCAAAAGTAGGTTCCAGGAACAACTGATGTCACACTTAGGTAGTTCTGAAAACGAGGTTGACCCAGATGTTGCTTGGAAAGCCATACAAACAGCTGTGGAAACAGCAATGAAATCTATTAGTGACCTAAACCACAGAGTTACAAAGAAGCAGTGGATTTCTTCAAAGTCTATCACACTGATGGATTCTCGCAAACTCGTCCCATCAGGTTCCGAACATGATGAAGAGCGACAACAAATCAGATCTAGGTTAAGAAAAAGTCTAAGAAACGACCGTGAGCAGTGGTGGGCAATGAAAGCAAAAGAGATGGAAAAGGCGGCGACTATAGGGAACACAAGACAGCTTTACAGACTAATGAAAGAAACTGGAATTAATAAGTCAAGTGTAAGTGAGATTATTTCGGAAAAAGACGATACTCTCATCTACTCCCAGTCCAGACGTTTAGAACGATGGGCGGAACACTTTAGGGAACAGTTTAGCTGGCCTTCAGCGACTCTACAACTACCCTCTATTCCCAGACAGTGTGAATGGAACATTGAAGTAGGTCCCCCAACACTAGCAGAAGTTCAAAAGGCTATAGTTAATCTGAAACGAGGAAGGGCAGCTGGTCCAGATGGATTGGCTCCAGAAGTCTTTAAGGATGGTGGTCCAATTTTAGCGGTTAGGTTGACTAATATTTTAGCTAAGATCTGGGAGTTAGACGTTATCCCATCTAACTGGTCGCAATCACTTATCGTCCCAATATATAAGAAAGGGTCAAAATCATCTTGTGACAACCACAGAGGGATTAGTTTAACTAATATAGTATCTAAAATACTAGCCTTGATAATCATCAGACGCCTAACTAAAACTCGTGAACTGCAAACACGAGAGAACCAAGCTGGCTTCAGACCTGGTCGTGGCTGCATCGACCACATATTCACCATTCGTCAGGTTCTAGAACACAGGCATACTTATCGATGTCCGACAATGGTGGTCTTTCTTGACTTAAAAGCAGCATTTGACTCGGTAGACCGCGAGATTCTGTGGCAGTGTCTGTCATTGAAAGGCGTACCCCAGAAGTATATAAACCGTGTAAAGGCTCTTTACTCGAACACTACTAGTCGAGTCAGAGCTTATGGCGAACTGTAATCTGCTTTTGCAACCTCAAGTGATGTCCGTCAAGGCTGTCCACTTTCTCCATTTGTGTTTAACCTCATCATAGACCTACTGATGGAAATAACATTCTCGTCGACTGAATTCTCGGGTATTGATCTCGTTCCAGGAGGTCCACTCATCGACTTAGAATACGCAGATGATATAATCCTGTTTGGTGAAGACGCTGACAAAATTCAGTGTCTTTTGGTAGCACTGAGTAACAATGCCAGAATGTTTGGAATGCGCTTCTCTCCCTCTAAATGCAAGTTGTCGCTTCAGGACTGGTCTGCGTCAACACCTGAATTAAGGATAGGAAGTGAAATAATCGAACGCGTTGACAACTTCACTTATCTTGGAAGTCTGATCAGCCCTAATGGGTTGGTGTCTGACGAAATCTCTGCACGGATTCAAAAAGCTCGTTTGGCCTTTGCCAACTTACGTCACCTATGGCGAAGGCGAGATATCCGTCTATCAATAAAACGACGAGTATGCTGCGCGGCAGTCCGTTCTGTTCTACTTTACGGCAGCGAAACATGGCCTTTAAGAGTAGAAGACACCCGTAAGCTACTAGTATTTGACCACAGATGCCTTAGAAATATTGCTGGCGTCTGTTGGGATCACCGGGTAAGTAATAGTGAGGTTAGACGCAGGGTATTAGGGAATGATGGTAAATCAGTTGATGAGGTTGTGAATCTTCATCGACTGAGATGGTTGGGCCACGTGTTACGTATGCCTGAACACCGATTACCACGTCGTGCAATGCTAACGGGTGTTAGAGATGGTTGGAAGAGAATTAGGGGCGGCCAAACCAAAACGTGGCATCAGTGCTTGAAGACACTAACCTCTAGTCTGAGCCATGCTGGTAGATGCAGACTAATTGGTTGGGGTCCGCTTGACTATCGTAACCAATGGTTGGAGACTCTTGGTGACATGGCTCATAATCGATCACAATGGCGCCGGTGTATACACTCTCTATCTTCCCTTAAACTAAGAGATTAAAATCACTTCATATCTTTCTTTCTACTAACTAATTCTTTCTTCCTGTACTGTATCCTTATATGCAATCTTTCTCCTATATATTACCACCTTTGACCTAACCACTCCTATGAATCCGGTGTTCATCTTGCTGTGCTAATGCGGTATGGCAACCTGGACCGATGCATATATGTGCCTGGTCCTACGTTGTAGCTGACTGACTGACTGATCAACATGGAGCCTGGTACAGATGTGCTTTGTCTCAAGTTAGCATACCAGATTAACAGACATGAAAATAACAAAAGTGGTCGAAATAATATAGCGATGAAGAACTACACTTTTGGAAATAGGTTTCAATACTAAGGTTGGATTTGATAGCTTTAAATGAATCGAGAGTTAGGTGGAGAGTTAATAATAATATGTTTTGCTATATCCCAATGAGTAGAAAAATTGTATCTCGGTTATTATTTACACTGAAGAAGTGGCTTACATAAAGTCACGAAAAGTCAGAAATGCAATTTTCCTACTCATTAAAATATAACAAAAAATATGTTTAATGTTTGTAATAGTTTGAAAGGTAGAACGGAAAAGTATGTACGATAGGGTAGTGGAATTAAACATCGAAAGATAAAGAATGAAAGTATTGAGCTGTTGCGAAGATTTCTACGCCACGTTACGTACTCTTCAACCCTGACTGTAGTTGTCACGTGGACCTTAACCAGGCAGTCTGTATCTAGCGACATAGCCCAGACCAACAGATAGTGAATTTACGAACTGAATCCACGTCACAGTATAGCACCTCTAGCTTTCTTTCAACCTACTTCTGCACTAGCAACCATTGGTCGTCGAGGTAGTAGAGGTTAGGTATGCGTAATACATGCCCCGACTACCTCAGTCAGTCAGTCAGCCAAACGTAGGACCAGGCACATTTATGCATCGGTCCAAGTTGCCATACCTCATTAACACAAAAAGATGGACACCGGATTCACAAAAGTAGTGAATTCAGGAGGTGGTAATATACAAAGAAAGATCACATACAAGGATATAGTACAGGAAGAAGAATTAGTTAGTAGAAAGAAAGATATGAAGTGATTTTAATCTCTTAGTTTAAGGGAAGATAGAGAGTGTATACACCGGCGCCATTGTGATCGATTATGAGCCATGTCACCAAGAGTCTCCAACCATTGGTTACGATAGTCAAGCGGACCCCAACCAATTAGTCTGCATCTACCAGCATGGCTCAGACTAGAGGTTAGTGTCTTCAAGCACTGATGCCACGTTTTGGTTTGGCCGCCCCTAATTCTCTTCCAACCATCTCTAACACCCGTTAGCATTGCACGACGTGGTAATCGGTGTTCGGGCATACGTAACACGTGGCCCAACCATCTCAGTCGATGAAGATTCACAACCTCATCAACTGATTCACCATCATTCCCTAATACCCTGCGTCTAACCTCACTATTACTTACCCGGTGATCCCAACGGACGCCAGCAATATTTCTAAGGCATCTGTGGTCAAATACTAGTAGCTTACGGGTGTCTTCTACTCTTAAAGGCCATGTTTCGCTGCCGTAAAGTAGAACAGAACGGACTGCCGCGCAGCATACTCGTCGTTTTATTGATAGACGGATATCTCGCCTTCGCCATAGGTGACGTAAGTTGGCAAAGGCCAAACGAGCTTTTTGAATCCGTGCAGAGATTTCGTCAGACACCAACCCATTAGGGCTGATCAGACTTCCAAGATAAGTGAAGTTGTCAACGCGTTCGATTATTTCACTTCCTATCCTTAATTCAGGTGTTGACGCAGACCAGTCCTGAAGCGACAACTTGCATTTAGAGGGAGAGAAGCGCATTCCAAACATTCTGGCATTGTTACTCAGTGCTACCAAAAGACACTGAATTTTGTCAGCGTCTTCACCAAACAGGACTATGTCATTCGCTTATTCTAAGTCGACTACCTCAATCGATGGAGATTAACAATCTCATTAACTGACTTGCCACGTTTGCTAAACATTCAATGGCGCAAAACCTCAAAATTGTTTATTCAGTCGCTCCACGAAACGCGAAAAATGCTTCGAGGACATCTATGATCAGAAACCTTCAGCCTACGCATGTCTTCTAATTTCATAGATCATATCTCATAGCCATAAATTAAAACAGAGCGGACTGCTGTGCACCATACATACCAATTAGTTGGAAGACGGATGTCTAAATTACGCCGTAAGTGAGGTAAGTTGACAAACTCCCACTGAATTTTCTGAATCCGTGCCGAGACTTGATAGTCAAAATAAAGAAATATGGCACAGATATTCCCATGTTATAGGTATAAGTAGATGAACTCTAGCAATTAAATGACAGTATACAGTCCAAAAGAATAAAAAGAATCATAATACAGAAAGTACACTTACCTAAAAAGCTAACAACTGCAACACTTTTAGTCATTAATTCTTGAAATGACATATCATAAATTCGTGCATCCGGTTGTAAGTGATAAGCTAATACACGTCCGGGCTATAAACAGAACATAGGAGGAGTTGAAAGAAAAATATTTGACAAAGGATGAATACGTAGACAATACAATATAGAATTGTAAAAGCTTACTTTTTCAGCTACACCTTCTTGAATTTGCCTTCGACGAATTAAACATATTTTTCTGACATAATCGAGACTTCCAAGTTGCGCTTTAATAAGAGCATCTAAAAAATCAATAAGACTACTGCTTATTTATTGAAATGAACAAATTAATGAAAATAACATAACAATTTTATTGATTAAATGATGCTACTGAGATTACCAAGCTGTTTATCTACAAGGCAAATTGAAGAACTTTAAAATTTATATCAAGAGAAAAACACTTTTCGTAGTGTTGTTTACTCTGAGTTAGATAGTTGTAGAATTAACATTGTCGTATTTGACTGTTTCATCGCCTTTTCAAAACAGAGGGATTTTTAAGAGTAAAAAGAACGAAAGTGTATGTTCCGAGTTTAAACCGTGTTGGTGAATACGGAAGTATCACTTAGAGAATTTGAAAAGTCATGATTTCAAACCATTGGTGTATGTGGATTGCAGAAATCTGCAGAAATCTGCAGAAACGAATGGTATACGAACCCATTTTGATGACCAGCTATCATAAGTTTGCAGCTTCTGATGTCGCTCCACTTCACTGAAGCATTAATCAACTAGATTCCAATTAATAGTCGTTTGTGTGATATTAGGTTAGGAGACTGCTACAAAGCGAGAGGCTGGAGTGGGAAACGATGTACTTTTGTGTGTGCTTAATAACCATCAGAAAAATGCGATTGTTGAAAGGAATCTACGTAATTTATGAGACAATTGTACAGTACCGGTCATACACTACAAACTATGGAAGAATGGTTTTAGTCCGCGTTACGGATGCATTGATTGAATCTTCCAACGCCGTCAAATGCTGGAAAACCTTCGGAATTAATGTTAAGCTCAGTTACATTCTCTATCCTTATTTTCGAACTTCACTCCCTTTCGTGTATCAGTCTACACTACTTATCAATATTCAGTAACCCGTTTCATTTCTAATAACTTTCGAGGATATAATTTGACCTACATATGTTGTCAAATAATGTTCTTGAGTACTTACAGAAGCTGATGACATTCAATTTATATCTTTTATGGCAACCGTATCTTCTGAATACTTGCGAAAGGCAGTTTCAATTATAGTGTGTTCGTTGAAAGCTTGTTTTATTGTAACAGTTCGCATACTTTGGTGTCCTTCGTCATCATTTTGACGTAATCTGTCATTGTAATTTCGACACGACTATTAACACTCCAATATTGCATGTTATTATAAACAACTCTATATATCTAACTTAAGAAACACTCTTTTTCGATGTACAGGAAATTCCGGATTTTTTTATTAGAGGAAGATATCACAGAAGCCTATTAACATGTTCAAGGACCTGTAATAAGAACAGCTCAGATAGTGACAAGATTTTGATAAATCCTCATGTTAAGAAAGACAGTTATATAGGACTGAAATCTGTTGATCACTCACAATTCTCCTGTTGTATTCCTTTAGACAGTACAAATCAGTGGCTTAAAACGTTATCAAATATGGCTCAGAATAGAAGGCAGTGGTGACCCTGGTGTAGTTTTTAATTACATTCTATCACAAATAGTAAGATAGTTCACCCCAAATGGAATTCAAAAATTTTCGTTTTAACCTTAAACAAACTATTTTCATACATTTATTTCTCGATTGTAAATCTCTTCCATCTTCCGTATTGGACAATATAATCATTTAACTTGCGTAGAGTATGTTTCCAGTAATTTACCAAAACTGTAGTGTATTCATTTAAAAACAAGAAAGGTTGGTTCAACGGAAAGTTCTCTTTTTAGCAAATCCATTTTTGAAGATATACAATCGCTGAACCAATTTTTCTTGCTTCTAAGCATTGATAGATGTACTTTATTTATTCAAAAACTAGACAACGTAAAACAAATATGTAGAGAAACCAAAAATAAATCTGTTTACCATCATCACCACCAGTGTCGTGACCCCGAAGTTTATCCATGAAACTATTTAGCTGACGAATGACAACATCTATCTCTTCAGTGCTTTCAGACATGCGTAGTGCTTGGCAGAAATACTCACTCGTATAGGCACTATCTGATGCCTATTTAGAAAAAAAAATTGAAAGCAAAGCATAAAATGTAGGTATTATGGGATCAGACGTACAAAATTTGACAGATGAAACACGATTTTGTTACTAGTAAGGACAGCAAAAAGCCTTCCGATGGTCAAGTGACTAAAACTAAACCTGCACTTTTTTATCTGTATAGCGAAAGCCGTTAGAAACTTCATAGGCCTTTAGAGGTGTGGCAAAACGCTTTGTGACGGTCAAAAATGGACAATCAAAATTTACCACACGAACGTGTAAGAAACCATATATTTCAGTTATGTACATACAAGAAGTATAACGTTTAAAGTATGCTAACTTATCGCAAATACCTTAAATATCACACTATAAAAACATTTCATCCGACAGTTTTATAATAGATAAGTTTATACATCGATTCGGTTTATGCTAGCACTGACCACAGTTCCGATGTTGAAAAAAATCGAGTTCTATAGAAGGTCCAATAAGCTAAAAAAAGCTAAGCTCTCTGACAGATCAATCATAGAATGGATGGCAAGACTATAATTTATGGACGGACAAATGAGATTTAGAATAACAGGTCTTGGATTTCAGCGCGACATCCATTTAGCTCGAAAGCGTTTTGGCATTTAAGCTGATGTCAGTTCTGGATGGAAACCCTAAGTCTAGTTCTTAACCCTCACCATCAACTGTCAATCATAATCTTAATTCCCCACACTGGCCTATAACCCCCACTCAGCCCTATTAAATAAGTGAACGTCCTCAATGTGACTTTAGTGTCGTTCATCAATTATAGTTTCACTGAGTAGGGTTTTCACGTCCAAGTAGAAAATGAAAACCAAGTTGAGCGACTATTGGGCGAGTTCATCAGTGAGGGCCCAAGAAATGGACAGAAGTGACCATCTGTTCCAACTATCGGATACAATACTCTCTACAAATCTGGAATGTTACTTCAGGATTGGCTCGCGTCATCGCCTAAACCAACGATAGGAAGTGTAGTTGAAAGCATCTGCCGCTTCACTTAGCTGCGAGGCGGCTCGGTTAGAAAGAGTACTAGATAAGTGCGGTAGATCGATCGACGAAGTAGTCAATTTTTATCAATTTATGTGGTTGGGATGTGTTACGTATACCTAGCCACCGCCTACCTCGACGGGCGAAGTTCTCTGGTGCAAGGTTGCCTGCAAGAAGGCTAGGGGCGGTCAAGTCAAAACATTGCATCAGTGCGTGAAGTCACTGACAACTGGATTGAACTACGTTGATAGGTACAGATTACCTGGTTGGGGTTCACGTGATTGTCGTAACCAGTAGTTAGAGACCTTGAATGATATGGCTCGAAATCGTTTGCAATGGCTCAGGTGCATCCATTCTTCGTCTTTCCCAAATCCTGAGCTTTTAACTTCCTCATAACTTTTTGCTTTCATTTCATTAATTTATGTTTCCTTTTCGTGAATTCCTATTACCACTGATATTGTTACTACCTCTACTATTCTGAGATTTGGTCTGACTTCACTTTTCTGTGCTAATCGGGTATAGGAACCTGGACTGATGTACATGCGTATAGGTTCTATGTTGTGATTGAATAACCATACACAAAGGACCACTCAGTTTTAGAAAATGAAAATTGTAATCATAAGGAAGGATAATTTCCGATGACCCCCAACATCGACTCAACACAGACCTCGTCTTCAAAACTCGATTCACGACTACTGCTTCTCCAACGCACATGTTCTCACACTCCATCCTGAAGTGTAAACACGCGTTTGTCTGTGACTTGCCGAGCCCATAAAAGTCACAGAAGGAAGACCCTTTAAAACTAATTCTGAAAAAATGGTCAGAAGTACAGTTTACGAACAATAAACTAAGCACTTAGTCGACCGTGTGGGTTAAGTTTATTCTGAGAGGCTTGATGTAATATCCAAACAGTTGTAACAACAGCACTGTTATGTACTTGTGACTCAAACTAGAAGCTTAGGAAAGATCAATGGAGTTCAGGGGTTTCAAATAAATTAACAGATTCTCGAAATCTCATACTAACCGGCACCGAAACACGAGGATGAGAAACAGTTTGAATGCAGACTGACAAATATTTTAAGCAACGATACCCAGTAGTGGTGGGGAACGAAAGTCACATAGGCGAAAGGGTAATGCCAATGCGTCACACTAAATTACTGTTCCAAATCGTCGAGAATACGTTTAGTGGAATTCAGCTACGAGCTAGACTATTTCGGAACCATAGTTCGCTCATTCCAGGAGGTTAGGTCGGTTAGCAGAACACTTAGTAACAGTTTAACCGGGTGCCAGTTATCCATAATCTTCAAGCAGTGTGGATGGGAAATTGGCACAAGTCCCATAACTGAGATCGAGGCCATTTCCAATTAGAAGGGAGGAAGAGTGGCAAAACTAGATAGGTTGGTTCTGGAAGTCCTTAAGAATGATTATACAGTCTTATATGTTAAGTTGACTGATATATCAGTTAGAGCGCGATCTATGAAATTGAGAGGTACGTGTAGGTTGGAGATTCATGATAGGTGGGGAAAGATACGATGGACAAATCTGCTTATTTTATTTGAATCAACCTAAGACTAAATATATTTGGTATGAAGGAAATATTAACAGAGGAAATAAACAACATGAAGAAATCAAACCACTAGTTACTAACAAAACGCATAGGAAAGTGTACTCACAAACCAAGCTATGGTTCTGTTAACGAAATCGGGATCCGATAACAAGTTGATCATTGGCATCAGGACAGAATTAACCAGCAACTCCTACAACATTAGAAAAGTAAGTACCTTACCCGGGTTATATATCGTATACCAGGCACACCATATTCCTCAGTAGGGGTAACAAAGAATAAAAACATATCACTTAGCAAACGAAGATGGTCTATTGGAAAGGTTAGAGCAATCCTTATACTAGCCTTTCTCCCGATCTTCAGAATTACAGATTTCTTCGTGACATATACTTTTCTCTGTCTCAGCCTCAACATCAAAAAATAATTTCGCATAATCTTCAGTTTTACTAGGTAATACGACAAATACCTCTGTCAGGATAGGTTGCCTTTCTGTCCAGCATATTTCGGTAGACACGAACATGGGCAGACATGAAAGAAGGAAGCGTTTCAGTAAAAAAAGGCACCCAATCCACGTCGGAAACTCTGGTGAAATTACTAACTACAGAGGCGTTTACCTTCTAACCACATTCGCAACAACCCGTAAAAGGAGTTTATGGAGTTCCATTGGAAATGAATCGTCCGGTGTGAGAGAGTTGTACCAAGGAGTTATGTAGTCTCTGATAATGTAGCTTACAATCTGCGGTGATAGAAACATTTGCAAAACTACCTGGTTAAGCACGTAGTCTAGGTCCTGATGAGGAGATACACGTATATTCGGTCTCGTGACACCCTCAGCATCCATGATAGCCGTCACCTTTGGAATCCCTTTGGAGAATAAAAGATCTCTCTTGCGGAAATGCACAACAGGCTGTTCATTCATTAAAAAGAAACTAGGAACAAGTTGTAAATATCAAAACGAATGTGTAATACCCAGCAGCAAAGGAAAGAGTCGCAATGACGACATAAAATATAAATGTGAAGCCATGATGCAGTAGAAAACAGATAACTGTTATACCCAGAACAACATTGAACCTTAGCATAACTAAAACCGTAACGCCAGTAATCAAAACTCCGGGAAAATATCCAGTAAGAATGTAAGCAGTTTAATATTCAAATGAATAAAAAAGTTATGAACGTTATTACATAAGCTTTCGACTAACGGAATTCCGTATCTAGTAGTAATTGATCTTCGTTGTCTCCTAATAGTAACTTGGGTATATATAATGAGCAAAAGAGGAGATATTGGTAAATTATGGCTAGATGCTGTCCTGAGCACTTTAGAAAATGTTACGTCTCCTCTTCAATAACTCTTGGAAAATCGCTTACACCATTTTAGTCTGCAGAGAATTCCTGTATTTGATTACTAGTAAAGAGTATGTGTGTCTATGGTCTATCCTACAGTGTGTCCCTTTTGCTTATCAGCGCCTGTGGAAGAGGCGTGTTTTCCTCTGACCAGCTACTTAGCATTATTCGTGCCAATGCAAAATTGGCTAGGCTTCTAAAAGTCAGTCATTGAAAAGATTATTATGCTTTATAAGATCTAAGTAAATATGATCATCACACCTAATTAGTTCCCCTCATTACTCCTTAAGTCTATCATGCTTTGTACATTCATTTCCTCGTCCGTGATGTCAAGAGAGAGCCAGGTTTCAGTCGGAACTATGATCTTTATTTGGAATGAAAACACGTCCCTGAACGTATCTACAGTACTCCTTCAACTGGTAGTAAAACGGAGAGATAATCTGAATGTGAGGGCTCGTAGTTAAGTTGGTTTGCGATCTCTAAGTTAGTGAGAACCTCGCCATTTCGCATTTAAGGGCTCATATCACTCGGTTTGTGGGCCTTCTCCGGGTCATGAATCTACAGTGATATTTTAAGCAAGCTTGCATCTTGTCTGCTAGCAAGGACGGGAACAGTCTCACATCGGTTTCTCGTTCCTATTTAAGAGTGATGATCAGATTCCATCGAATAAACCTTTGACTTGTGCCCGGCTCTCCGTTTGGCCTGAAGCAAGCGTTCCATGCCTCACTTGATCCAGGATCTTTGCTTCCCGGATTTATGCTTAACCTGAGTTAGATTGTGTTGTATAGGATTCTGAACGATGTACCTTTCTACCTCCCAGTAGTTACACACTGTTTGCCCACACCATTCTTGTAGCCATGTGAGGTAATAAAGATGCTCCCAAGCCGCCACGTAGTCTTCTATAGTTTAGCTAAGCTATAGAACATTCTCGGGTTGCCAAGGTATTTAGTTTGTAATCACATCGAAAATGACTATACCTTGGTCAGAACTTCCTACTGGGGAAGGGAAGTGGACATACTCGCCAGAAAAAGATCAGTTGTCAGTTAAAAACCTAAGCTCGAAGGTTTTCCGTCCAAATCCCACCTCGTAGCGCCATCAACATGTTCAGTTAGTCTTGAACTTCCAGAGACACTTACGCAACCGCCCTATACACGTTGTTCCTACTTGCTGTAGTTCAGAGGAAGTATTGAGGTCTCCGGCAAGTAGTGTTTGGTCAAAAACCAGGTGTGATAACGCTAGTATCTCAGTATCATCTTAAATTATTGGGTTTTAGGGCTGGTGAGTCGTTGGTGTGTTCCTCCAATTAAGAACATCTTTCCGCTAACATTGGAGCAATATCAGCAGGATTCTTTCACCTTGGTTAGTTCAGTACTGTTTGGTTTTACAGCCTCGAAGTGGTTGTGAATATATGTCGCCACCCCACCTCCCACGCTAAGAAATATAATGTTCTGATTGTAGAAAATAGTATTTTTTGGACACAGGCTGATTTTCTGTGTCAAAATTGAATGATCCTCCCAATCAAACGAAGATCTAGACTTGAATACTTGCTCCTGTTACCCCACGTGAAGAAGCATAGGGCGCCCACCAGTACTCTACATGCAACCATGTTCTGGGCAATTCTTTCCAGTTGTGTTCAGTTGCCATTCATCCTTTTCATGTCTTCTGAGTAGTGTGTTCTTCGGCCTACCTCTTTTCTGTTTCCCATCAGGATTCCAAGTAAGCGCTTTTCTCGTGATGCAGTTTGGTGATTTCCCCAATATTTGTCCCATTCACCTCCAATGTCTTCATAATTTCCTCTTCAACTGGAGGATGGGTTGCTCTCTCTCTCTCCCTCTCACAGTAGGTTGGTGCTGATGGAATCTGATCAGCGGACACTGGGTATCTTAAGTAGACAGTTGTTTACAAATACTTGTACCTTCTTGATGATGGGTGTAGTAGTTCTCTACGTTTCATTTCCGTACTGTAGAACTATTTTGACGTTCGTATTGTAGATTTTTGACTTTGATATTAGTGGACAGTTCTTCTAAGTTCCATGTGATCTTTGACTGTAAGATCTAGAGTACTGTATAAATATAGTAAATGAGAGTGGCCCACAAATGTTTTCCATCATATTATATCATAGAAAATATTGGAAATTTGGCAACAATGAATTTCTCTAATCTAGCAATCATTAATCATGGGTGAAGAAGTTTCCACATTTCCTTGAATTTGATTATTTTGTAGCATCGAAAGACGGGTGGAAATAATCAGGATTTTCCCTCATGAACTTTTGTAGACTTTATTTTTCTGGAAGTATATGTGACATGAATTAGTGGCCCTTGTTTTTTGAGACAGTTGAATTAAGCTCGACCTTTTGTGGAAATTTTAAATATACGTGACACGATATCCGGGTTAGAACAAACCCCACTATCGTTCTGAAGTTTGACCTTTTATATGTCGATCAAGCAAAAGGAATTGAGAATCAGCGTTTACACTATCGTGACCCAAGATGTAGGCCGTTTCGTTCTCTATCGTCTTTTTCTGGCTCATATGGAAAGTTTAACCTTTTTCTACGACGAAAATATCACTCGGTCATGCTACGGACGTGTCAAGTGTAGCGCAGTCATCGACAAAGAAAGGACAGTTACAACTTACCGAAAGTCATACTACCAATTGATTCTATGATAGAAATTATTCCAAAATGTATGCAATCGCTTGACTAGATAAACGAAAACAAGCACAATTACTTATTATGATACACTTAGATGACTTAGAGTTTATCCACAGTCTTCTATTCATTACTATGAATTATTGAATGCACTTGATGATACTCCCGTAACGATTTTGACTTAAACAAGGGATTGCAAATCATGATGAACCAAGGGAATTATATATGCTGTAACACTTGTTACTTTATGTTATAACTCTGTTTTCTTACGGTTAATGACCCAGCTATTCCTATTGCTTAGTATTCTCGGACACCGATTCACTCGACAAGTCCCCAAATCAGAACACGGTTGAACAGGAAAAAGATTATATTCCAAATAGCAAGTCAGAAGCCAGTAGGAAGCACAATAGGGGAAAACGTCGGTATATTTATAGTTTTTACATAAGAAGATTCCAGAATATTCTCCAACTATCGACTAGTGCTGATTGGATAAGAATCAGCCAATCAGCGTGCACCAAAACAATCATGCATTGAGCATGCTTTAATCTAGTCTATGTCCCTCTAACACCTCCCCTCTGAGCAGATTCGTAGGATCTGGTGCTAGGGTCCAACTGCAACCGAGTGAGTGGTCTGTACTTTCGATTAGTCTATCGTCTAGGCAATAGAGAAGTATCACTTTTTTCTTGCACAGAAACTGACGTGTCTATTCCCGGCGTTTTGATTTCAAAGGTGTCTAGCAGAACATCAAGAGGTAATCGATATTGAATCTTGTTGCTGGCTATCGAGGTTGCTTTCAATTGGTTAGCATGACGTACCCAAACTTCCGAGCCAACTGACACCTCGTAAACCACACTCCCCTTCTTTCTCAAGATCCGACCAGCTGTCCATGTAGGATGTTTCCCACGATAGTCCATAGCAAGTACTTTTTGTCCCACCGTGAACAATTGTCTTTGTGCTCCATGATGTCGGTTGAACTGATTCTCCATCGATAGGTTTCGTTGGGGTTCAATAACTGGCGCAGGACGGATGACATCGAAATGTGTACGTATCTTTCTTTTCGGTTTTCCTAGTAACCTGTCACCTGTCTTCTTTGGAAGTACTGGGATGTCCAATGATGAACGTGATACGTTACAGATACTGTTAATTGGTACATCCATTATTCCAAGTTTGTCTAACATATCTAGACCAAGAAGATCAAGGTTTGGCCGTTCTGTTAGGTAACATATTCCTGTACAGTTAGTTCCATTGAAGGAAAATTCACACTGTAATTCACCAACCAGTTTTAGCACACCACCTGATGCGTTTTTAGCCGTTTTCTCAGATGGCTTCATTGGCGGTTTACCCAGCAAGTTATACGTTTCTCTAGACACTAACGTGATATCTGATGCCGTGTCAATTTGAAGACGAGCTGATATGCCGTTTATCTGGATGGTAACATACTTTCTCCGAATGTCATAGTTTCTTTGAAAAGCAGCTACCAGAGAAAGAGATTTAGACTCTGCTGATTTCACATGTCGAGGACGTTTATGCTTCTTCTTAGGCTGAGACGTACGCTTCGGTGGAAAATGACCTTCTTTATGTCCACGTTTGTTGCACTCCTGACATTTATGCTTCTTGAATGGACAGAATCGTGCACAATGCCAATCACCGCATAACCAACATGCAGTCCTTGGTTTGTTACGAGTTGTTACCGGCTTCTGAACTTTTAACCTAGTAATAGTATTTACACTACCGCAGGTTAAATTAGGATTTACCTGTTCAATCAACTCGTTGTCGTGTCTGATGCTTTGTAGACGTTTTCAGGTTGAAAAGACTACTACCGATTCATTTTCTCTTTTTCATATCCCTCAAGAAATATCCTTATAGCATACAGGGAAACGAGGAATATCTACAACATATCAGGCTATCCAATCGACAAGCAAAGCGCATCTTAATCGCTGAAAGGTAATTCGAATTAGACCACCCACACTTGTCTGATGTTTTCGAATTTTACGCTCCACCAAACCTAACGATCGAAGTTTACAAAACGATATTTTAGGTCGCATTTTGACAACGCAATTAACCATAACAACCCCACAGTTGCTAACTGTACCGTCGCTCAACCTTCCGTCTCACGGTACGCAAACAACTGATTGCGATGACATCATGAATCTCCAACCTACACGTACCTCTCAATTTCATAGATCGCGCTCTAACTGATATATCAGTCAACTTAACATATAAGACTGTATAATCATTCTTAAGGACTTCCAGAACCAACCTATCTAGTTTTGCCACTCTTCCTCCCTTCTAATTGGAAATGGCCTCGATCTCAGTTATGGGACTTGTGCCAATTTCCCATCCACACTGCTTGAAGATTATGGATAACTGGCACCCGGTTAAACTGTTACTAAGTGTTCTGCTAACCGACCTAACCTCCTGGAATGAGCGAACTATGGTTCCGAAATAGTCTAGCTCGTAGCTGAATTCCACTAAACGTATTCTCGACGATTTGGAACAGTAATTTAGTGTGACGCATTGGCATTACCCTTTCGCCTATGTGACTTTCGTTCCCCACCACTACTGGGTATCGTTGCTTAAAATATTTGTCAGTCTGCATTCAAACTGTTTCTCATCCTCGTGTTTCGGTGCCGGTTAGTATGAGATTTCGAGAATCTGTTAATTTATTTGAAACCCCTGAACTCCATTGATCTTTCCTAAGCTTCTAGTTTGAGTCACAAGTACATAACAGTGCTGTTGTTACAACTGTTTGGATATTACATCAAGCCTCTCAGAATAAACTTAACCCACACGGTCGACTAAGTGCTTAGTTTATTGTTCGTAAACTGTACTTCTGACCATTTTTTCAGAATTAGTTTTAAAGGGTCTTCCTTCTGTGACTTTTATGGGCTCGGCAAGTCACAGACAAACGCGTGTTTACACTTCAGGATGGAGTGTGAGAACATGTGCGTTGGAGAAGCAGTAGTCGTGAATCGAGTTTTGAAGACGAGGTCTGTGTTGAGTCGATGTTGGGGGTCATCGGAAATTATCCTTCCTTATGATTACAATTTTCATTTTCTAAAACTGAGTGGTCCTTTGTGTATGGTTATTCAATCACAACATAGAACCTATACGCATGTACATCAGTCCAGGTTCCTATACCCGATTAGCACAGAAAAGTGAAGTCAGACCAAATCTCAGAATAGTAGAGGTAGTAACAATATCAGTGGTAATAGGAATTCACGAAAAGGAAACATAAATTAATGAAATGAAAGCAAAAAGTTATGAGGAAGTTAAAAGCTCAGGATTTGGGAAAGACGAAGAATGGATGCACCTGAGCCATTGCAAACGATTTCGAGCCATATCATTCAAGGTCTCTAACTACTGGTTACGACAATCACGTGAACCCCAACCAGGTAATCTGTACCTATCAACGTAGTTCAATCCAGTTGTCAGTGACTTCACGCACTGATGCAATGTTTTGACTTGACCGCCCCTAGCCTTCTTGCAGGCAACCTTGCACCAGAGAACTTCGCCCGTCGAGGTAGGCGGTGGCTAGGTATACGTAACACATCCCAACCACATAAATTGATAAAAATTGACTACTTCGTCGATCGATCTACCGCACTTATCTAGTACTCTTTCTAACCGAGCCGCCTCGCAGCTAAGTGAAGCGGCAGATGCTTTCAACTACACTTCCTATCGTTGGTTTAGGCGATGACGCGAGCCAATCCTGAAGTAACATTCCAGATTTGTAGAGAGTATTGTATCCGATAGTTGGAACAGATGGTCACTTCTGTCCATTTCTTGGGCCCTCACTGATGAACTCGCCCAATAGTCGCTCAACTTGGTTTTCATTTTCTACTTGGACGTGAAAACCCTACTCAGTGAAACTATAATTGATGAACGACACTAAAGTCACATTGAGGACGTTCACTTATTTAATAGGGCTGAGTGGGGGTTATAGGCCAGTGTGGGGAATTAAGATTATGATTGACAGTTGATGGTGAGGGTTAAGAACTAGACTTAGGGTTTCCATCCAGAACTGACATCAGCTTAAATGCCAAAACGCTTTCGAGCTAAATGGATGTCGCGCTGAAATCCAAGACCTGTTATTCTAAATCTCATTTGTCCGTCCATAAATTATAGTCTTGCCATCCATTCTATGATTGATCTGTCAGAGAGCTTAGCTTTTTTTTAGCTTATTGGACCTTCTATAGAACTCGCTTTTTTCAACATCGGAGCTGTGGTCAGTGAAAGCCTAAATAGCCAATCGGTCTTCTAGACTGAGTGCACTGTGATTCCTAATTATGTAGCTTCTTGTTCACTTGTATTTACTAGTCGAAAATGGGTAGCAACTCTGTTTTAAGCATTTAAAACAACTCATAAAAGTTAGAAAATAAAATGTGCTTTATCAATATGAACAGAAATAAACATAAAATATTAGCTATTGAAGGAAGAAAGACAATACTTAACAGATGTAACTGTAAGCTTTCGGATAACCGGATTTCATTATGCCTTCGAATAAAACAGGAACGGAAATGGGAGCAGAATAAATACAGATTTCATTTAGTCGATTTCACATTTTAAAGGATTGCAAAGTATCATTATACTAAAATATTGAAAAGAAAATAGCATATATCACGCTTGTGAATATTACAAATATTGTGGTACAATTAACCATAGTTAGCACCACATTAATTACATGTAGTTCCCCGTATGACTTGTGGTTTACTTACTAATGCCGGGAATATAGCTACGCATGAACCATTTAAATTTTATCTTCCGGTAAACATAATCTACAGTTTACATCCAATAAAAGACATTTCAATTTATTCGCGAAATCGTCACAATATTTGTTGAATTGCATTATATCACGAGGGTGTTTCGTCCAGAATTTGTGGAAAGAATAAAATGTATAGCCTGTTTCAAAAACGATAGGAAAAAGAATGTATGTATAGTAGAATGAGCTGGTTTGTAGTTAAACATAAAAGGATTCTACTTCTTACAATTTTCATGGATTTAGCACAATAATCAGGGTGTCAGAGTGACCAGTAAAAGCATTTCTATTAATTTATACCAAAAACATTACATACCTATCACTTACAGCAAGAAGGATTTTAAATAAAAAACAAATCAGTTGATGAATAGGTCAATTGTAGAAAAATGTACAAAACTACTTATCCAAATCGTAGGATTAATCTATAAAGTCACTTTGTTAGTTTGAACCGTCAAAACTTATTATAGACGGATCATATAAAACGAAATTCTCGTTGTCATAATCAAATGATTCTGTTACCACTATACAATACAATGATGTGATAAGTTGAATACCTTTATGTCATCAGATTTGTTGTGAAACATTTTCACCTTTTAAATTTTAACAAATAGTGGATGAAAATAGCTACTCGAACAAACAACAATCAAGCTTCATGGTACATAAGAAATCTATCAACACACACAAGCGTTGTGCAATGTTGTCTTACAGTATGAAAAAAAAACACTGTGACAATGAGAGATACACCGGATTTTCGAACAAAAACTTGGTTTGAACATATATATATGCCAAATCATTTCTAATTACTTAACATTAAGAGTGAGCTCAAACGGGTCGATGTAAAACTTTTGAAAGGAAAACTAATGAGGTAGCTTTAATGAGCTAAAGAAAGTTGCTTGATATTTTGGTAGTTTTTCATTTCTATCAATTGAAGATTTGACTTCGGTTTTTTTTGTGAAAGCAGAAACTTTTAACATTAACTGTCAATCCATTTTTAGTAAAACTATTAATGGTGAACAAAAATAATTTCAAAACGATATATTTAGACAGCTATAACTTATTGAGAGCTTTTCTTTTTTTACCAATTAAGCTAAGTGATCACCGAGTACTTTATTCCAAAACAAGGATAATTAAACTCTACACAGTACGAACTGTAAACAATAGGACGTTAAATTGATTATTCGTGTTATTTCGTAACCAAATACACTAAATATTTTCTTCATAATATTATTGTGAAGAAATTGCAGAATTTATACACAGATGAAATTATGTATGCTTTAGGTCAAAAAGCCTTAGGGATACTCTTTTATAATACTTGATTACATTGTTATGCCTTTTCATAGGGATATCTATTTATTAGCAATATATAGTCACATTGATGAAAACTACGATCTCATGAGAATGAGGATTTTGAGGTTCTTACTAGTAATATAAAGCTAAAATAATCAACAATATACACTTCTTACACGAAGTATCATATGTTGTTTAGAGGATAATCGATGAATATTGAGCACATAAGACAAAATTGCATAGTGTAATGCTTTTTTAAAAATGAAAACTAAAGCATGTGGATAGAATGACTTCAAACCGCTAATTCGACTGCTGCAATATTCCCTAGACATACAAATCTTATTCAACTCAAGTAATTATTAATTCCAGATTTTCCAACGATGATTTTAGGAACCGAATCTATTAGTCTATCAAACCTCATTTTAAACAGACTGACTAGCATTACCATTTTCATATGTGCTAATCAGTGTAAGAAGATTTGGTTATGTGCAGTGTTGTGCTCTTTTAAATTAGCCTTTAAATGATTACTAAAGAGAGGAGTATTGTCGCTTAGCTTTGTGAAGTATTCATTTTCCTTATCTGCTTTGACTCCGTATAAAATACCTTGGTATCCCGTTAACTAAGACTATACGTTGCAGCATGAGTTTTGAAACTATCACATAGATCGAATATAATTGCTGAATGTGTATGTTACTATAAAATCTGCTTGAAGTACGAAAAATATTTGCTACCATACCTGATCAAATGTAGTCTTAATAAATTCGGAATTATGAGTAGCATGTGCCGGACTTACTAATTCGCTAATGTAATTAAGTAGCAAATGAGTGATCAATAGTTAACTAACAACCAGATGTCCTAAAACAAATAGTCATTAAAATTCAAGATGTCAGTAACTGCTCCTTAATAGTATTTCATGAGTCATCAGACATTTTCCATAAACATATAAGCGTAATAATCGAACTTGGAAACGTAGATTTTCTGGGTGGGTGCTAAGCCGTGGGACAATGAGTTACTGTACAAACGTAGTTTAGGAACTCAACTGATAACTAATACATAAACGGTCTTGGACTTATTTCAATAACCAAGAGTTGAACAACAAACTAATAATATCAGCTTTTGAAAAGTGAAGTTAATGCACGCAACTCTGCGAATCTATAAGTGATTACTAAGTCACAAAATATGAAGAACTTAGGTAGATAAAGGTTTTTTTGCTCAGAATTTATCAATGTCACCCGGTCTGAAAACTGCCAAAATTACGTTTACTAACATATCGTCACATATCTAACGCTTTCATTGAGAAAATAAATTAAAAAAACCACATCAGGTTTTATTCAGTCGACTAAAAGTAAACTAAAAATGAACGGCATCGAAAGTGTAAATTGTATATATATCCCACTCCACGAGGAGTAACAGGCGTAAGTTTTAGAGTGGAACCCTATATGTTAGAATACATTATTTTTAACCTGTACCAAAGACTCAAGCCCCACTTGTGCTATTTTATTTTGAGTGGTAAAGTTATATCCCTACTCCGGAAAATTTCAAACTAACGCCGAGTAAATAAACACGTACTTTATTAATAGGTTGCAGTACTTTGTGCTACGTTAAGTACATGGTTGCCTTTGTACTTAGATATTTTAGGAGTGACTACCATTCTTCTCATAAGGAAATTGAGGATGTTAGACGACTCTCTGTGTTTGATCATCGCTGTCTCCGAAGGATTGCTGACATCCATTGGCAACACCATGTTAGTAATGCGGAGGTTTGGCATCGTGTGTTCGGGCACAGAGATGATAATCCAGTTGGTGTCACCATCTTGAAACATCGACTTCGGTGGCTTGGACACGTTCTACGAATGTCTTCCCAGAGAATTCCACGTTGTGCATTGTTTGCTAACTCTGGGTCTGGTTGGAAGAAGCGGAGAGGTGGTCGGTGTATGACATGGTGTTGTGGGATGAAGAAGAGCTGCAAAGGACTGGCTTGTGTTGGTCCTTCTCGACTCCCTGGCTGGGGTCCGAGAGATGGTGTGACGCAGTGGCTAGAGACGTTATCAGATATGGCTCAGAATAGAAGCCAGTGGCAATCCTGCTGTAACTTTCTTTTACTTTCTTCATAAAAAATGGTTGTTTCTTCCTTGACTGAAAGAATTCTTCTGATTGTACTTTTCCATTTCCCCCATTATTACTATTATTATTACACTACCTTACACTAATCTGTTCGTTAATGTTCTTTTTTTCACGCTCCTAACCTTTTTTCTCTTCGAATTCTCATTGTTTTTTGTGGCGCATATGTATTTGGTGCCCTCTTGCTTGTACCAATATTTATGTGTTCAAATAAATAAACAAATAAATGTAGGGAAATTACGAAAACTAAAATGGTAGCACCTACAGTAAAACTCGTTGAAGTCTTGTATGCTGGCTGATGAAGACATATTATAGAATTGATATTTTAGATAACCCTTCAGCATTAAGTTGTACGACAACTTCGTCAAGTGGATACCAGTTACAGCAAATGGATACCTGATTGGTTGGAAAGGAGTTAGTGTAATCAAATAACTTCTTAGAATTTACCATTTGTTAGGATGATGTGATGCCGATAACATACTTCGCGCTAATTTTGTGTGTGATTCTGCGAAGTACCTATGTAGGTATAAATTCAAAAGAAAATACTATACAAAGAAAAGTACAGCACAATTAATGGTAAGGATTTAGGTAGTGTTATTACACTGATTTAAGCTCTATGGTATGTGTTTTTACTTGAAACATGAAATAGTAATAACAAATGAAGCCAATGATGTAGCAAGTTTCCTAGGATATATATTCATGATGAGGAATATAACTGGACTGAACAAGAACATAACACAAAGCCTTCTAACCATACTATAGGTCCTAAATGGTATATGGAAATAAATTTGGAAAAGATTCTATCAACCATATCTTCAATATTTATTAGAACACGTAAACACTGGTACAAGAAGGCACCAAATATGTATGCACCACACAAATCATTTGATTTGTGTGAGGGCTAGGGTACTGCTCGAACTCCCAGACCGAAGCAGTTGGTTCTCTTGGAGAACCACTCCCCGAGCCTTTTAACTAGAGGTCTAATCCACAAGGCCCGTGGTAGTCGGTGACCAACAATAGGTGTATACGCTTTTGTTTCCTCAGGATTCGGGGGTCCATATGCACTATTAGTTTGGAATTAGGGCTTTCCAACTCCCCTAGATGGATCTCTTATGTCCACCAACCCGCTTAAAGCGCCGGACACTCCCTTTTCGTTCTCTCAATTTTATAAACAACACCCCCGCTTCGAGTAGGACTTCCCTGGCAGTGGTATGTTTAATTCGTCCACAGTAAATTTGCCTTACACCTTTAACAATAGGGTGATTCACTTTATACAAATTGTGGGGTCTGACAGTTGGAAATGGTGCTCGGCTTTAGAAAAATATGGCTATACTTTCAACTTTTGTCAATATGACATTTCTGACAAAAATGTACCTCAAAACATTCTGAATAACTGCAATAATTGGACTCAAAATCAATCAAGCATACAGTAAGGGTTATTATAGTATTTAGAATCTAGATCAATAATAAGTAATGAGAGGCATTATTACGGTAGTACTTCAATAAACGTTTGAAGGATGCCAAAACGCGATGTAATGAAACAAACTATAAACTACGATTTTGCGCTGCTGAGTTTCATACTAAGACGAAACGGCCGTCCAGTGCTCTCAGGTTTCCAGTGGTGGTCTCACATTAATCAGTCCTTATTTCAATCAAAATTCAACAACCTCCACAACTCTAAACTGATATAAATTATGAATTTTGGCCAGTTTACAGGCTGGTTAAGAGTGCTACAACAACAGTGTCCTTTCAAATGAAAATTCAACATGAGAAGAAAACGAGTTGTTACAAGGACTACACTTTAATGAAATATACTCACGAATAAAAACTGGTGTATTTGGTTGAAACGAATGGGGATTCAGAAAGTTTATGACATGAGTTCACAAATTACTAGTTTTAAAGTGGATGTAAGAAAGATCACATTAAGTTTTAATTCACTCACATAACACCACCGTAGTATAACACTATGAACTTCAACCGGCGTTCGAAAAATGACCATTTTACCATACCCAATTCAGTTTTAACAATTGTTTACTTTCGTCATTTTAAACCTTGTAGTACGGGTTTAAAAAACACAATCACTACGTGCAGAAACGGCAGAAAAAAAACTTATTCACCCCATAGATGGAGATAGCGAATGCTAGTCTTACTATGTTAATTAAGAGTTCTAACCCTAATGAAAAAGTGGGTGACCATAAAGATTTAGTCTATTATTATCAGCGTAGAACCTGCCATACACTTGAACGTGACCTTGTGACTCTGGATACCTAGGACTAACTTGTCGAATCTAATGTGGACTACATAAGTGTAGATTTTACATAAAAATAAGGGATTAGTAATGCTGAATGATAAGACTGAAAATCGTCATACGTTGATCGCTTTCACATATATCAGTGTCACATGAGCAAATCAGTTACTTTACACGAAGAACCTTTAAATTTCATTAAGATGAGTTTTGAAAAAATATAATCACTAAATTTATGACTAGTTTTGACCAACTAAGTACGACTTACACAAGATTTTCAAGAGACAGTATACCCATTCCGCGGAAATCCGTCTCGGGGTTCTCCGTCTGAAATCCAAGAAGAGTCCACTTCTCTCCATTATGGGATGACAATTCGTTTTGAGAATCAAGACAAATCCATAACTACAAAACTTCAAGTCACTTATGAGAAAAACTACCCTTGAAAGTAATTCGGAGTGATAGTGATCATCTGAATTAAACGCAGTACACTTCAAGGCATCCAATGTATTTATTAGTTCCCGATAAGAGTTGATTTGACTGATGCAGTACAAATAATCGGTAGGAAAACTGGCATAAGTTTGTGTATATGATAATACTTTGGTTGATCTTTTAGATCGATACGCTTAGCACTAATGACAAGCTGCACATGTGACTTAGCATCTGTACATTTTCCCAAAAGCAATCCATTTTGAATAGATTTATTTTTTGAATTCCTCAGCGAGTTTTCTTTTATATACAATCAACACAACACTCAAGCTAAACCAACCTATTCTGACAGTTCTGGGTGCTCCTTTCGGACAATCAGCAATTATGCGACTTAGTTCACACCTCCCTGTTACTAATCGAGAAATATACTTTATCATAGGACGGAAAATTGAATATATCACCTGAAACAAGTAGACAAATATGTATGTTAAAAAATTCATTTGTAGGAGTTGTTTGATGGTGATAACCAGTTCAGTATGATTTATATGTATCTGGTCAGCAAGTTAGATGAACGTTTGAGTTGAAATACACTAGTCAGTGGATGTCAGAGTAAAAACGTCAAATCCTTTCAAAGTCGCCCGCCGTTGTTTCAACGACCTTGAACAACCTTAAAAGAGGTGATCATATCATTTTTCCATTATCGTTGGTTTGTAGGTTTGTATGAGTACTAAATTCTCTCATGTTGAAGTGGTTTTTTGCTGTGTTAAAAAGCACAAAGCAACTGCACAAAGCATTAATTTAGCCTTCTCTGTTTTGTAGTGTATACTTTAGCTCTATTGTTGCTTCGTAACTTGATCTGTGATTCGATTTGCTCTAGTGAACCTCACAGCCTTCGTTTGATTTTTCCATGAGGTCGAGAAATATGCTTTATCGTAAGACGGAAAATTGAGCATATCGTCTGAAACAAGTAGTACGATGAGCTTCAAAAGACAACAAGCTACTGAAGATGACACATTTATTTTGGGGATTTATTTACCGCTACAATACCTTGAGGAGAAAGGACGATGACTCTCAAACAAACACTCCAAAAGGAATGGCAAGCATATCCAATATCTTCATGACGAGCCTATTTAAACGGATTTATACGTTTTCGTTCTCATCTTGCTAAATTGATGCGCATACAGTTCCCTGGTAATTTCCAGTGTTCGGTAGTCAAGCTACTTGAATTCACAAGTTCTAGTTAGTTTGGTAATTATTTGTGGACTTACGTACCCTCGAATCTGAACAAGTGGGTTTGTGTCACGGTAGCAGGGTTTCTGTAAGCAATAAGTATCACCTTACGAGGCAAGAGGTTGGTTCGTTGCAGTGGGAAATAAAAACTCCAATACTAAGAGGAGACCCTTGTCTCAAGAACTAAATAAATAAATAAGCTGATCGATCGGCAATGCAGACAGTATGAGCAGGCCGAGGTGAAGGAATAGAAATGGGGATAATAGCAAGAGTTGATAATAGGCGAGACAGAAAGTCGTCAATAATATGTGATAATGATAACAGTAGGTAAGTTACGAAAAACTCATCAGACAGCTTACCCAAGCGGAAATGGTGATCCGTGGGTGAGCACGAGTTTTTCAAGTCTCCATTTCAACCAATTCACTGAAGGGGTTATAGTTATTTTGACCTGAAGAGCGTTCCAAGTGAAAGCAGCTCTCATTGAGAAAAAGTGGGAGCTATCTGAAATTTTGCCTTTCGATGTGCAATTTTTCAAAGGTTGCGTCGGGGAGCATTATAGTGGTGTTTTAGTAGACTGTTCGTGATAGAGTTGCCTGATGTACATAGTATGTTCGATGCCATCATAAGATTACCTATAATTCTCCTACACCTCACTGGGAATAATGCTGTGTCGGAATTGGTCTTCGTAATAATTATTCTTTAGCCCTATCACCCACTTGGTTGCTCATCTCTGTACTTGACCTAAGAGATTTATGTCTGTTTCGAAGAGATGGAGGAAGCAACTTTATGGAAATTGAGTTGAGGTCTTGAGCACATTTTAATCAATATGAGAAACTATTTTGGGGTGATTGCACCAAGATGTCTTCTCATAAATAGTAGTGTTGCATTTCCATCGACTGCAACCACAATATATTTTAAAATAGTGTCCTTGATCTTTGTGGTTGCTGGAACAAAATCACGCTCTGAGGAGACTAGTGCGCGCGAATTTTAATAAAAAACTCTAGTTGTTAGTCCACCACGTGGCTGAATGTTCGCTACGTGACATTCTGATGGACTGAATTTCAACTAATAGTCCTTTTGAAGATATGTTTACCACCTTATAGACCTTCACATTTAAGTATTGTCAGAATGTACGGGAATCGACGAGCTAAATGTGTCTGTGAGATCATTTATGAAGATCAAGAAGGAAAATGCGATTAAAATGGTTTCTTTTGTGACTCCTAAAGTTAAGATCTTCAAGATGTTTGGAATTCTGCACAAATTAGTGTTCAACACACGGTTTTCTGTGTGATTATCGTGCCCGAGAAGTTTAATGTCAGCGTAACCCATCTGTTCAAATTTTCCTATATGCATCAAAGGCTCCAGAGAGGTCGAAGAATATCACGCGAACCGGTGTTTTTGAAACCAAAAGGTTGTCCAGGTCTATCATGCTGTGAAGAGATTTCGAACTCTTGAAAATACCTTCCAGAATCACTTTTTAGCTTACTTGAAAGGAACAGATTTGTCAATCTGTTACCGCATTCTGTGATTGGTGCATTCATCCATTATCTTCGAAAGTGTTGGTAATTTGGTGAATCATCCACACCAGTTTTTTATTTCTCCTCGTTTGAATATCGGAAAGAATCTCCTGACTTCATTATTTCGAAAGTTCCTGTAAACATGTGCTTTTCACACACCGGGGTACTGGCGACTTATGTGCACTGTCTCAGGGTTACAAGGGGTACTTTATTTTATTCGTAGCTAGCTTAGGAGTTATATAAGTATTCCCCGCATCATCAGCTAGGACTACACTTAAGAAGTATTCCGCACCAGTGGTTTCCTGGCTTACTTAGTCGGTGGGGTTGACATGAAAGATTTTTCCATCTCTAGGTTGGTAAGTCCGAAACCTCTATCCTACTCAGCAGCACAAGTCACCTGTTATGTGTTTTTTCGTTGAGTCATGAACCTATAAATTTTGAATAAATTTGTACTTAAGATGGTGGTTTAATTCAGAAATATCTCTTGTCTTTTCGATCTGTGGCGTTGCGAATGTCTTTTAATACCAAGTAAACGATACAGTCAGAATCCTCCATTGAAACTTTCAATGTTCCACACTATCTTTTCTACACGTAACAGTCATTTTGTTCCTTGCTTAAGCTAAAGCTTTCTCCTTCCAGATGTGAGTTTTGCTCGAGGTACGTTGCGAAGGATAGCACTCTTAATAACATCCTTCACTATCCATCAGTTTATTTATTTATTTGAACACAAATACTGTTATAAGAAAGCACCAGATACATATGCACCACGTGATAATAATAAGAATAGGAAGAGATAAAAAAATACAAGGTGCGTGAAGAAAGAAAAAAGAAAATAACGACCACAGATCAGTGTAAGGTAGTGTAATAATAATAGTAATAATGGGGGAAATGGAAAAGTACAATCAGAAGAATTCTTTCAGTCAAGGAAGAAACAACCATTTTTTATGAAGAAAGTAAAAGAAAGTTACAGCAGGATTGCCACTGGCTTCTATTCTGAGCCATATCTGATAACGTCTCTAGCCACTGCGTCACACCATCTCTCGGACCCCAGCCAGGGAGTCGAGAAGGACCAACACAAGCCAGTCCTTTGCAGCTCTTCTTCATCCCACAACACCATGTCATACACCGACCACCTCTCCGCTTCTTCCAACCAGACCCAGAGTTAGCAAACAATGCACAACGTGGAATTCTCTGGGAAGACATTCGTAGAACGTGTCCAAGCCACCGAAGTCGATGTTTCAAGATGGTGACACCAACTGGATTATCATCTCTGTGCCCGAACACACGATGCCAAACCTCCGCATTACTAACATGGTGTTGCCAATGGATGTCAGCAATCCTTCGGAGACAGCGATGATCAAACACAGAGAGTCGTCTAACATCCTGAACTCGGAGAGGCCAGGTTTCACAAGCATAGAGCAAAACTGCTCTCACCGACGCGTTGTATACCCGACCTTTTACAGCCAGACTAACATCACGAAGGCGCCAAAGATGACCTAGATTGGCATAAACCGCTCTGGCTTTCACTATACGTGCATTGATCTCATCACTCACACCCCCACAAGCACTTATGAAGCTACCTAGATACACGAGCTTCTCGAATACTTATATTTGTTCATTACCCAGGGTAAACACAGGATTAGAATCCTGCCAGTCTTGTAGAAGTACTTTGAACTTCGAAAGTGCATAGCACATACCATACTTACGGACACTGATTGCCAAATGATTAAGTGTGGATTGCATGGCTTGGGTATTATCACACAGTAAGACAATATCATCTGCATACTTAAGGTTGAGAAGTCTTTCTCCAGGCAACAGATCCACACTACCATTACCTACATCCATGAGAGCTGTTTCCAGAATGTCATCGATGGCAGAGTTGAAGAGGACTAGTGAGATTGGGCAACCCTGTCTAACCCCACTGCTCGAATGGAACAATGGGGAGAAGTGGTTGTATGCCCTCATTCTGCCTGAGGTGTTTGTATATAGGGCTTTTAGGAAGTTGCTAAACTTCCCACGCACACCCTTTTTCAATAGACAATCCCAGAGGACATTTGGCAGAGGGCGAAGATATGATCAATACATCATCGACCAGAACAAAAACTAGCCTGCTCCTCGCGAGTCAATTTTTCTCCGGTTTTGAACAGTGTACGAAGTATGACAGAAGCCGATGGTTTGGACGCAGTCTGAAGTGACCTATCCATCGATAGTTGTTACAGAAATGACGTGAACCCTTTTTAAAGATAGGGACAACTATTAACACACTCCATGACGTTGGTATGTATAATTATGGTCTACTATGATATTAGTACTGCTCTAATAATAGACCTAATCCTAAAATTATAGACTTGTCATGATATAACTGCATAATCTATAAGATCTTACGTGGAAGTCACATCATCGTCTACACCAACTCATTGCATCATAACAATTACCAATACATGATGGAGAACAAGGTTAGGCTAGAGATAGGACAATATATTTAATATGGTTAAAAGATATAAGATAACAGGGACCACGTCTGCATGGCCGAGCCATGCCATTCGATCAACTCCAACTCATTCAATTCCTTGTCTGCGCCTTCTCCATCGTTAGGTATTTCTCCGCGTTAAATATTGAATATCTATTTTTCGAGCAATCTCGTATTCAGCTTTGGAGATTGTGTGGTTATTGTCCAATGCCACTACAGGTACACTCTCTAGCTCCCAGACCTTTGTAAACAATACAGTCAGTTCCTTAGCCAGTAAGTCACTACGATCTTTAGAAAGGGCCGGAGGGAAGTCATCTGAACCCGGTGATTTGTAGCACCTTAAGAGATGGAGTTCCTTGCGGATTTCCGCCTCAGTTGGTGGATCAGTCGTCACTGGCCATGGAGGGCAGGACAGTTTGACCGATGTTGCCGGAGCA